TAGTTATGAATCGATCAATCATTTAAATTGTGAAAAAGGGAAACAATTACATTTATTTGTCATTACATGTAATATAAACTATCACAATATAGTGTGCAGAAAATGTACAAATTTAACTGCAAGTCTGATGTTCTATTACAAGTTGCAGATATGCTTCGTCAACTGTGTGCGCATATATGAATTATATTAATTGCTAGCATAAAATTCAACTAACATATTCGATTAGTCATGCATCGATCAATCATTTAAGTTGTGAAAAAGGGAAACAATTAAGGTTATTTGTCATTGCATGTACTATAAACTGTCACAATATATTGTGCAGAAAATGTACAAATTTAACTGCAAGTCTGGGGACAGTTGTTCGAAAGGCGTTTAGCTTAAACGGTGGATAAGTTCAAAATGGAAAGCAAAACTGTATATTTATTGAACAACTGAGCTGAAATATTTCGATGTAAATAGTTTAATTGTCAATGGAAGTACACATTTAATGCATAAGATGCAGATTTAGTCATTCACAAGATGCATGAGAGTAATTTTAAACTTTGGCTTATCCACCGTTTAAGCTAAACGCCTTTCGAACAACCGGCCCTGATGTTCTATTACAAGTTGCAGATATGCTTCGTCAACTGAAACCCAGGTGCAACAGAATTTATGGTACTAATGATTAAAAATGTGTGCGCATATATGAATTATATTAATTGCTAGCATAAAATTCAACTAACATTCGATTAGTTGTGAATCGATCAATCATTTAAATGTGAAAAAGGGAAACAATGACATTTATTTGTCATTGCATGTACTATAAACTGTCACAATATATTGTGCAGAAAATGTACAATTTAACTGCAAGTCTGATGTTCTATTACAAGTTGCAGATATGCTTCGTCAACTGAAACCCAGGTGCAACAGAATTTATGGTACTAATGTTTAAAAATGTGTGCGCATATATGATTATATTAATTGCTAGCATAAAATTCAACTAACATATTCGATTAGTCATGCATCGATCAATCATTTAAGTTGTGAAAAGGGAAACAATTAAGGTTATTTGTCATTGCATGTAATAAATTATAAACTGTCACAATATATTGTGCAGAAAATGTAGGTCTATACTAAAACTACAAGTTTGATGTTCCGTTTATAGGTCTTCTTCATCTAAAATTTTCCTATGTGTAGCGCAATTGCGCGAGAAATTGTCAATTGTCATAGTGGTTCACTACGCAAGTTACTCCAATTTACATCTTGATCAAAGTTACATCAGTCTTGATCAAAGTTACATCTTGATCAAAGGTCATCCTCTCCATGGGAGGCTCTTAGTTTATAAGTCAATTTTTTTATCACTAGTTTCAAATAGCTATGAGCGAGGGACAAGAAACTGAAAACCAGGAGAGTTTAGAAGAAAGCGTACAATCATTTCTCGAAGTTGGCTGCGGTTGCACCGGTGGTCAAACTGGAAATCCTTGTTCCAAATCTTTTTCAAAAAGAACATTGCTTTCCAACCTTAATAATTGCTTGGAATTGAGTAGAGAAGGAACTTGACTTAGTAATTTTGGCAAACATACAAGCCTCGACACACGAGTATACTGAAAAAGTTGGTGAAAAACGAATTAGAAGCCCCCGATGCTGTTTTACGTATAAATCGATACCGATATGCAAGAAAATGTTCCTGCGGTTCTATGGCATAAGCGATACTCGTTTTCGTTCACTCAAAGAACACTATGATACCTTCGGCATTTACCCTAGAACCCATGGAAACAAGAAGAGATTGCCAAGTAACACAATATCTATTCGACTATATCAGATATAAAGACATTTATTTCGAATTATGCCGAGGAAAATGGGGTATTGTTGCCCGGTAGAATACCTGGCTACAAAAATGACGACATCAAACTGCTACCATCCTGTGAAAGCAAAATTAGCGTATGGAGATGTTATAAGGAAAGCTGCGAAATTACAGGGAAGGCTTCGGTATCTTATTCGAAATTTGCCGACCTTTGGAAAGAGACCCTGCCTGACATCATTGTGGCCAAACCCATGACAGATTTGTGCGCAGTTTTGTCAAGAGAACACTACAAAGCTCAGAGATCAATTAATTTATCTGAAGAGGAAAAATCAGCTTGTGTCAAACTGCACCAAGAACATCTGGATAGAGCTAAAGCAGAGCGAGAATGTTATCGAAAATCCTGCAACGAAGCAGAAGAAAGTTTGACGTCGTTTGATCAAAACTTTGACTTTACCGAGTCTCGATATCCATGCTCTCTTAGAACGAAAATGCACTATTCGTTTGACTATGCTCAGCAAGTCCACATACCGAGTAATCCGATGCAACCTGGCCCCATCTATTTCAAGACACCTAGAAAATGCGGGATTTTCGGTGTAACATGTGAAGCTGTTCCCCGCCAAATAAATTTTTTAATATACGAGGCTGTGTCAGTTGGAAAAGGAGCCAATCCAACCATTAGCTACCTACATTATTTCTTGGAGCATCACGGCTTTGGAGAGACTGATGTACATTTTCACGCGGACAATTGTGGTGGGCAAAATAAAAACAATTTCTTTTTGTGGTACTTGCCTGGAGAGTTATAAACAAGCTCCACAGCACAATTATCTATTCGTTTCTCCTTGCTGGTCACACAAAGTTCAGTCCCGATCGTGGTTTCGGCTTGTTGAAAAAAGCATTTAGAAATTCTTATGTGTCCTCAATATACGAGTTTGGTTCACTGGTTGATCTGTCAAGCTCAATTGGACTAAATAAAGCCCAGCTTGTGGGAAGCCACGATGGCAAAGTTATCGTCCCGGTTTATGACTGGTCGACATTTTTGGGTAAGTACTTCAAAAAGATCCAAACATTACAACGTATCACCATTTCCGTTTTGCTTTTGACCAACCGGGAATTGTTGCTTACAAAAGAGTTTGTGAATTCAGTTGAGAAGAAATTCAATTTATTAAAATATGCTACCCAATTGCCACCTTTCAACATGCCAGCAACGATCGAGCCAGATGGCTTAGATCTGGGGAGACAAAAGATACCTTTTTTAAGGAAATAAGACAATTTTGTAAGCAGGGCACTGAAGATCTTGTTGCTCCGGCTCCCGTTTTAGACTAGATGCACGTAATATTTAATTGCTATGATATTCATGCAGTGGCGTAACGAACGGAAGATGGGGTCTTGAGGTATACTTGGTACTGCGGGGTCCCTTAATTCCCTGTCTGTCATAAATCACGTTTTGCTTAACTATGATGTTTCGTTATCTATCCTTGCCCCCAATAAATGGGGATCCCTTAGTTCTCGTCGTAACCCTACCGAACGCGCGTTAGGTCACTGTATTTATGTCTTCAAATATTAGCTAGGGTATTTCAATTGTTGTATAATTTGTAGCTATGTCAGACTGCATTAAAGACAACGAATTTCAAGCTGAAATGTCCGTCCTAGGATGCCGGTCCTCAATTTTGAATAGATTTTAATCAGTACGGAGGCCCAATTATAAGTTTATCAGATGTAAATAAATTAGCTGAATACACATGGTTCAAAGTACGATATTAATATGTAACCGCAAAATCTCATTCATTTTAAAATCTGTTTTTGTCTGTTTACATACATTTAGAGACTTCCGACAATTATGGCAACTTAATTAGCACCTTGCTAAGGCATATTATGGCTCGTAATGCTGTAATATATATGGCTTGCGACGTTGTTTGTGCGCGCGGTGAAATTTGGCTTATGGAAGCTACAGAAGTATAGTAAAGCAGAAATTCTAACCATTTAGTGCATTACCGAAATTTCAAAAAACGATAAATTTTTGAAAGAAAGCTTACGACGTGAAATTTGCCGCTAATGAAATAATTGCATGCACTGAATATTAATAGCCTTCATGTCTGCATGACGCTAAGCATAAACAATAACACGAAGCGCACAAAATAGCATTCGATTGGGCTAAAATGATATAACCCCACTATTTCCTTTACAAGCCTTCTACTAAGGAACTGGATACGTTTCTGGGAGTATTTCTGTGTAGCACATTCTGCGCTTTTTCTGCAAAGTTGTAACATTGCAAATGTTTAATCTAATATGTTGAACCAAATCCAATGCGATTGAACGAAATTCCGGCAAACGTTTCAACGAACGGTAAGTCAAACGGTTGAACGCTTTTGGACCAATTTTCAAACGTTTTTTGCCAAGCGTTCGAACGGGCAATTTCGAACGATGAACGATCTCAAAAATCGTTTCAACGAACGCTTGAAGCGTTTGAACGGCAAACGAACGGATAACGAACGATATTTTTGAACGAACGAAATAGCGTTAACGTACGTTTTCCCGTGGAAGGTCACATATAAGGAACTTTCATCCTTCCGTTTGTTTTATTAAGATAAGCTCCATATATCGGCAGAAAAGATGTCCCGCCACAATAATTTCCTAGATCTAAAGTCATTTTACCATCCCTATATTGCATTGCCCCTTTCTGCGTGGGCACGCGAGGGCAGTCATGTTCTCTCTGCTACAATTTAAAAATATCATACATTCACCATTTTATAATGATGACTCATTCCTGCTTGAAATTGTCGAATTGTAGTCTACGTTGTTGGGGTATAGGTTTAAAAAAAGGGGACTTTTATGTATGCCAGGAGCATACATGCAGGTGATTTTCCCCGCATTCTGCAATGAAAGAATGCTATAAACAAAGAGGGATTTCGTTTTTGACCAATCAGCAAGCTTGTTTACACTTTCAGTAACCCAATCAGAGTGCATAAATTTTAAAAAAAAGTACAATAGATTATACTATTTTAAAAGAATTATTAAAAATTTAGGGACTGGGTTGAAGGAGAAAATATTTCGTGCGTGTACTACGAGGACAGTACCATCATGAAGGAATTTCATTACTTCAGTACATACTCTGCCCAAACCCATTTTATATCTGTTGAAGTGACATGATGTGCCTTCATATACTACATAAATTATAAGTATATAATGACCGTATATAATGAAGAAATCCGCAACTTACCTTCAGTATAATTAAAAACAAATCCGCTTCTTCGCTCACTACCGTCTGTCTGAAATACGATGAAAACATTGGAGCCGGATGATTGCAGATTTCCTGGCAACAGATCTCCATCATATCTCCCCAGACTTCTTGCACTCGCCGAATCACCGTCATAAATATACAAAAAATCAGAACCAATTTCCAACTATAAAGTGAAGCAATATAAAGTAAGCCACACATTAAAGAACAAAAATACAAAGTACAATACACTGGAGGAGATCCTAATTAACATATAGCGAAATTTTGTGTATAGTGCTCCAAAGAGAAAAAATGTTTGGACGACATTGGCATCTTTGCATGTTCTTGTCGTCGTGGTGAACCAACAATTAAAGAAATCGCTCATTACGAAAACCAATAAATTTCTCTCCGAAAAAATGCGTGCAATTGCGGGGGGAAAAACTCCTCCTTGTCTTCCATGGGGTTAGTAAATGCAAAAAAACTCAATAAAAGAAAGCTTACAAAATGTTCAGCAGCATACGTACGTGTAAAGATATGGCATAAAATTAAAAAACGGGCACTTTCTGCATACATCTAACCATAAAAGGAGACATTTTTGTCCAATCTCTAAGCTTATTTTTTGTGCTTCTTAGCTATATGCATTGGTAGTAAGAATCAATAACTGTATAGCGCCATCTTTAATATACGTTTTTTGCACATCTTGGAGCTCGTTATCTTTGCCATAACAATACTATTCCTCTCCCCTCCTCCTCCTTTATTGTTTTTTCCTCCATTATTGTTCTTTATTGTCTTTTATGATGCATTATATGTCTAATTATAACAAACCAGATAATAATCTAAATATTACAGAAACTGAATATTCCTACCGAAAAATGCGAAAACTGGAGGAGAATCGGTTTTCCGTTAGTGCTAGAAATTGTCCATTCACAATCCATGTTGTTCGGGTATAAATTGGGATAACCAGGACTTTTGAGCGTACCAGGAGTGTAAAGGTGAGAGTTGCCGCATGAAACTGCAATAATATTAAACGTAAATACAAATTCTTCGAGGATGTAAAACTGAAACATGAGATTAAACTCCACGTTCTCATCGTACTTGTGAATTTTAGGCTTGCTATTATTTGATATTACAAACAAATATCAACGGTGATATACAGTAAGTTATAATGATAATGTGTCTTCGTAATCGTCTGCAAACTATAATTATAATTACATTACTAAACGATTTCACATATATTACCTTCAGTATAATTAAAAACAAATCCGCTTCTTTGCCCACCACCGTCGGTTTGAAATACGATGAAAACATTGGAGCCGGATGATTCCAGATTTCCTGGCAATTGATCTCCATCATATCTCCCCAGTCTTCTTGCACCCGCCGAATCACCGTCATAAATGTACAAAAAATCAAAACGACTTTCCAGCTATAAAGTGAAGCAATATCAAGTAAGCCACAAAATAAAGATCAAAACCAGAAAGTACAATACACGTTAAGAGATCCTAATTAGCATCTAGCGCACTTCTGTGTATAGTGCTCTGTAGAGAAAAAAATGTTTGGACGATATTGACATATTTGCATGTTCGTGTCGTCGTGGTGAACCAACCATTAAAGAAAGCGCTCATGGCGAAAACCAAGAAATCTCTCTTGGAAAAAATACGTGCAATTGCTGGGGGAAAATATCTCCTGTTTGTCTTTCCTGAAGTTAATAAAAGCAAAAAAATACAATAAAGGAAAGCTTACAAAATGTTTAGCAGCATACGTGTAAAGATATGGGATATAATAGAAAAACAGGCACTTTTTTTGCAAACATCTAATTATGAAAAGAGACTTTTTTTGTCCAAGCCCTAATCTTTGTCGTGTTTCTTAGCTATATACATTGTAAGTAAGATTCAATAACTGTACAGCGCCATACTAAAGATACGTTTTTTGCACATTTTGGAGCTTTTTATCTTCACTATAACAATACTTTTAATTTTCCTTTCCCCTCCCCCTGTTTTTTTTTTCAACCCTTTTAATATGCTATTTGTCTCATTAAAACAGTCCAGCTGATAATCCATATATTACAGAAACTGAATATTCCTACCGAGAAATTCGAAAACTGGACGAGAATCGGTTTTCCGTGAGTGCTAGAAATCGTCCATTGACAATCCATGTCGTTGGGGTATAAATTGGGATATCCAGGACTTTTAAGCGTACCAGGAGTGTAAAGGTGAGAGTCGCCGCATGAACCTGGAACTAAATTAAACGTAAGTACAATTTCTTCGAGGATGTAAAAATGAGACTTGAATGAAAAATGAGATTAAACCCCACGTTCTCGTCGAGTTTTGGTCAATTTCAAGCTTGCCATTATTTGAAATATGAAATAGGATATAAAATGAGTTATAATGATAATGTGACTTCATAATGGTCTGCAAACTATAATCATAATTACCTTACTAAAGGATTTCACGTAAATTACCTTCGGTATAATTAAAAACAAATCCGCTTCTTCGCTCACTACCGTCTGTCTGAAATACGATGAAAAGATTGGAGCCGGATGATTGCAGATTTTCTGGCAACAGATCTCCATCATATCTCCCCAGTCTTGTTGCATTCGCTGAATCACCGTCATAAATGTACAAAAAATCATATCGACTTTCCAACTATAAAAAGTAAAGTATTTTCGAGCGTGCCATACAATAAAAAAGAAAATTTAACACCAAATTCAAGGCGATGAAAGAGATTCGACACTTATTAGCAAAATATAGCGCACTTCAGGGTATAATGCCTTATAGAAAAAAATATTTTGATGACATCGGCATCTTTACATGTTCGTGTCGTCGTCAGCTCATTAAAAAAAGGAAAGCAGAGGAAAATATTTCCTGTTTTTCTTTCCTGATGTTAATAAAAGCCAATAGAAAATACGAAAAGAAAGCTTACGAAATGTTTAGCAACATACGTGCAAAGATATGGGAATGAATAAAAAAACGGGCACTTTTTGCCGACATTTATTCTAAGAAAGGAAGCTGTTTTTTTCCAATTCTCAATATCTTTCATGCTTGCTATCTGTATACAGTAACGATAAAAAGTATTCGAAGACCTCTTTTGGACCTTTAACTAATTCTATAAGAAACATCGACATACACATATTAAAACCGAACCTATTTGAATGACCTTTTTTTGTATTATATATAGAGTGTGATATTATGCCGTCCCCAGCAGTTTTAGGAATTAATTGGTTACTCCAAGTACATTTGTGAACAAAGATATGGCATATACCCCTGCATTTTCAAAACTCAATTATATTCGTATTAACATGATTTCTAGAACTGTCTCATTGTGATTCCATTCGAAAATGTTCCATGTTATTTTGAAAATAATCCGGTCTTTTAGCGCAACAAACAGTTTTTAGATTAATAAATTCTTTGATGAGCAATTAAATCATTAAATATTAAAAACCTGACAACTTGGGTCTTTTGGTGTTCTAAAAATAAATTGCAGATATTGACTAATATTAATAGAACTTACTCGAAATACATCCTTCATAACATAGAAATGAATGAAAATAAAATTTATTGTTGTGAATGTTTTGAAAACTATACGCACAATAACTGACATTTTTCGATCTTTATTTAAAAATACGAACACCTTACTATACTCATCATCGATATCTCACAAACAATCTCCCAAGTAAACCTTATAAAAAGTAATAAATGGCACTTGTTTGATTAAAAATGTACTTTAGGCTTAAAATAGTAAATTAAAATAACTGAGGAGCAGTGCGAAAAACTCGTTCTGTCACTTGCAAAATTTCCACACAAATTGCTTGTATTTTAAAGTAGATATGAGCACTTTTATGAGGTCTATACAAACGGTGTTTGAATACTTTTATCAGCACTGTACATCGCAAGTAAAACTTCTGGAAGCAACCTTTAAGAAAAGTTTTGTGCAAATCGTATAGTGCGGTATATATATCCATGCAGCATAACACTATAATACTATCACAGAGAATTTAGCTCTTGTAATTATTGTGCGTCAGAAATGGATAGTCCAGTTCGCTCCTATTCTTCGTTCATAAATAAATGAAATGTTATCTTTCATTAAGATCACTTCTATTCTCCCCCTTTTACTTTCACTCTCTTACCTTTTAAAAAGAACAAAGCGCAATACAAATCAGTTTTAAAACCACGCAAGAGGTAACCTACCGAGAAATTCGAAAACTGGAGGAGAATCAGTTTTCCGTTAGTGCTAGAAATTGTCCATTCACAATCCATGTTGTTCGGGTATAAATTGGGATATCCAGGACTTTTAAGCGTACCAGGAGTGTAAAGGTGAGAGTCTCCGCATGAAACTGGACCTAAATTAAATGTAAATTAATACAAATTATTTGATCGTGTAAAAATGAAACTTGAAGAAAAATGAGATTACACCCCACGTTGTCGTCGAATTTTGGTCAATTTTGGAGAGAAGCTGCGATTTCCTTTGTTTCATTTTCGACAATTGATGTCCCTCGTGAGCAATAAGAGAGTCACTTTAGATATATCTCCTTTTTATCAAAGTTACTTCTCAGAAACCTTGTTCGTTATTTATAGGCAGGCGCGGATCCAGCCGAAAATCTGACCGTGTCATATTGGACTAGAAATTTTCCGGTCGGGGGGGGGGGGGGTGGGGGCGTATGGCGAAGGGGCTATGGACCCTCCGAAACAAATATTTTCTGAGCTTTGGTTCTACAATATTCTTCAGGGAACGTTTAAAAGCGAATATTGTAAATCCCTGTACTTTCATAAAACCACAAAACCATTTCCAAAATTTTTGGTAAGGTATTTACGGATATTTCATTCACACTCAACATAACGTGAAATTTGCATACACAAATTATTCACAGCGTAAATGCAAATTTGTATCATAGGGCGCTTTCCATTAAGCGGCCAAAAAGGTCAGACCGGTCATATTTTAAATTGAAATAGAGTATTTCGTTAAGAATATAGCGGTGAAACTGCATTTCCCGTGTTAGGCAGATGTAAATAATGATATACTTTTGTCTGTACCGACTACCGAAATACAACAGAACCGGTCTGGCCGTTTTTCCGTATAAAGGAGAGCGCCCATAGTTCGATTTAAAACCTAAAAGTCTTACCTTACAAGGACATTGGCTAAAGATTTTCAGTATTTGTCTCTTGGGAAATAGCAGTTTAAAAATTGTCGTTGCGATTGTAAACGCGAGCGAGCGAAGCCTGTCTTTAGTAATAATTCCATCATGTTGTAGCCTGAAGAGCGATATTTCCCCTGAAATATGCTCGCTTAGATTTGCTTTTGAGAAATTTCGACGGATTCATGTATTAATGCATTCGATTCAGCCTGAATCAGCCAGGATGCAGCGAACAGACCAATTTAACGTGTTATGTATAAACTATATCCGAGTTCGAAGTCGAGAAGTGTCGAACTTTATTGTTTATCATGTTTATTGCGCAATCAAAAACAGGCCACCGTGTCGCACCGTGTCGCCCCGTGTCGCACCGTGGCTCACGTGGCAAAAGCTTGCCCTGTGATTGGTTTGCTACACTGCACCGTGTCCGAGCGTTACTATATTTAGTAACAATTGCGCAATAATCTGCACGCTGACCGTGTCAACTAGTTGCTGTGATCGCAGCTTCGAATGCACGACTAGCTTCCGAACATACTCGGCACAATTCGGCAAGCTTTCGGCGAATATTATAGTTCAGTGTTAACTGAACAATCGTAATATGAACTTTTAGCAGGAATTGGTAATAATATGACAACGATTACGAAAGATATTACTCAAATTATTTGTTTTAGACATATATTTCCTTAATTTTGGTGTGATTCAAAGAATTAATATGTACTTCTAAATAATGTGTGAATATTAGATTGCAGATGGGAAATTCTGGATGGGAAAATCTGACCGTGGCTCGAGCCACGTTCGATACGGTCTAGATCCGCGCCTGATAGGAATCACGTTTGAACATAAGCGCTGGATTCCTAGACCGCTTTTTGTATTCTGACAGCAACATCACACAAATTGGTCACGTGTGTTTAATTACGCTATTAGAGTCCGGAACGAGTTATGCATCTTTGCTATCATTGATTTACCAAAACAATAAATTGGATACTCACTAAACGGACTTTGACAAAACATTTTTTAGCATTGAGTTGAAGTGGCGACACAGACTAACTATGCTAATGACGAGTGAAAGAAAAAACATTACTGAAAAAAATACATCATGCGTCTTCTAAAATTGTTTAAAAGGTAGTATGGTCTTAGGCTGCTGTATAATCATAAATGAAAGATTTTTATAAAATGAGGTCTGTTTTATCTCTGTAAGCAAAAAGACACACCTCAGCCTTCATCAATTTCCCGCAGTTATATCCGAATTCTTTTTTATCTGTTTGACATTACAAACAAAATATGAAATGAGATATAAAACGAGTTATACGGTGATCACCCATACATGGCCTATAATCCCAAACTCTTACATTGTTTCTTTTTTTTTTGACCCAACATTACGCTTCGATTATCTCTTAACTATGGATTAATCTGATTAACATTTCTTTAATTGACAGGGAGAAAATGACACACACGTCGGCAAGGCGATGTGTGCCTTCAGATAGTCTACAAACTATAAGAATTATTACGTTATTAAACGATTCACATAAATTAATTACCTTCGGTATAATTAAAAACAAATCCGCTTCTTTGCCCACTACCGTCCGTGTGAAATACGATGAAAATATTGGGGCCGGAAGATTGCAGATTTCCAGGCAACTGATCTCCATCATATCTCCTAAGTCTTCTTGCATCCGCTGAATCACCATCATAAATGTACAAAAAATCAAATCCACTTTCCAACTAAAAAGTAAAGCAATTTTGATTAATTATACAATAAAGAACAAAAATTCAACACGAAGTACAATGCACTGTAAGAGATCGATCCTATACACTTTTTAGCATAAAATACACATCTGGTTATGCATAGTGCCCTATAGAGAAAAAAATAATTTTGACGTCGTCAGAAAAATATTGTCTTCGCTCAGGTGAATAAAAGCCAGTACCAAACACTGAAAGAATGATTACGAAATGCTTAGCAGCATAAGTTCAATCGAAAAAGGGCTCTTTTTCCGTTATCTATAGAAAAAAAGAAGCTGTTTTTTTCCAGTCCTCAATATTTACGTGCTTCTAATGTATATACATCGCAAGTAAAACTTTAGGGAGTCTGCTCAAGGTAAGTTTTGTTCAGATTGTATTGTGCAGTTCATTTCCACCATAACACTAATACTATAACAGAGAAACTAGCTCTGGCAATTATTTTTTTCTCTCAGAAAAGAATAGTTTAATCCCCTCGTGTTCTTCCGTCATAAATGAAACGCTATCTTTCATTCAGCTCACTTCTATCCCTCCCCCCCCCCTATCCCTTTTTACTTTTATCCTCTTAACATCTAGAAGGAGCAAAGAGCAATAGAAATCAGTCTTAAAACAAAGCGTAAGGTAACCTACCGAGAAATTCGAAAACTGGAGGAGAATTGGTCTTCTGTGAGTGCTAGAAATCGTCCATTCACAATCAATGTCGTTGGGGTGAAAATTGGGATATCCAGGACTTTTAAGCGTACCAGGAGTGTAAAGGTGAGAATTGCCACATGAAACTCCAACTAAATTAAACGTAAATAAAATTTCTTTGAATATGTAGGAATGAAACTTGAAGAAAAAATGAGAATAAATTCCACGTTCTCGTGGTAGCTACTTTTGTCAATTTTAAGCCAGCTGCTGTTGAGGAAAAACTGAGATTTACTTCTTTGATTTTCGACAATTGATGTCCCTTCACCCTTGTGAGCAATAAGAGCATCAGTTTCGAAATAATTATCTCCTGTTTGTCAAAGTTCCTTCTCAGAAACCTGGTTTGTAATTATATCTTGTATCCGCAGGAATTACATTTGAACATAGCGTCACATTACATTTGAACATAACATTCCTTTATCGCTCTTTCAATTTTCACATCGATTTCATATATATATATATATATATATATATATATATATATATATATATATATATATATATATATATATATATATATATATATATAATCTTGGATTTGTGCGTAGTAAACCAGAGTGCTCAATACAAGTAAATAGTAGAGCAAAAACACAAACAAATCAACAAAATATAATCATAAAATTGTATTTCATCGCTACACTGTGTTTCACGTACTAGTTTTAGTACGATCCTCAGGCGATAACTAAGGATCCTCAGGAGTTATCGCCTGAGGATCGTACTAAAACTAGTACGTGAAACACAGTGTAGCGATGAAATACAATTTTATGATTATATTTTGTTGATTTGTTTGTGTTTGTGTTTTATATATATATATATATATATTATATATATATATTATATATATTATATATTATATATATATATATATATATATATATATATATATATATACACCCATTTGCAAAAACGTTGGCCGCAGATAGATAGATAGATAGATGCTCGAAGTCTAATTAGAATTGCATATGATTACATTTGCATGGGATTTCAATCATATTACACAACATATGCAATTCTAATTAGATTTCGAGTATCTATCTATCTATCTATCTGCGGCCAACGTTTTCGCAAATGGGTGTATATTAATATATATATATATATATATATATATATATATATATATATATATATATTAGAGTTACAAACTATAAGTATAAATACGTTATTAAAAAATTCACTTAAATTACCTTCGGTATAGTTAAAAACAAACCCGCGTCTTTGCCCACTACCATCCGTGTGAAATGTGATGAAAATATTGGAGCCGGATGATTGCAGATTTCCTGGCAACTCATCTCCATCATATCTCCCCAGTCTTCTGGCATCCGCCGAGTCACCGTCATAAATGTTTAAAAAATCATATCTTCTTTCCAACTATAAAAAGTGAAGCAAAGCTAATGCGTTCAATTGTTGGGTGGAAATATTACCTGTTTGTGTTCCCTTAGGTTAATAAAAACCGGAAAACATGAAAAGAAAATGCGGACATGTAACTATTGAGGATATTGTTTCTTGCCCAATCTCCTATCTATAGACATCGAAAATAAATAAGAGTCACTAAATTTAGGAATCACCTAAAAAGTACGTTTTGCTCACATTGTAGGTCTACGGGTGAACTAGAACGATAATAGGTGGGATGAATGTCAGTATTTCCCAACGGATTTCCATTGTGAGCCATTGCACTTACAAAAGAAATCCGTAGGGGAGAAATGAATAGAGACCTTTAGACCTTTAGATTGACGTTTACGGCAAACACTAAACGGCTAACAAAGTTTGTGTTTTAACTTCACTATCTTTTAGTATTTCGCGAAATCACAAACGTTCAACATAAAGTTTGTGATGTTCAGCAGTAATGTAAGAAAGCAATAGGCTCCTTCTGATGTATTTAGAAAAGCAGCAAATTCAGCTTTCCCGTATATGTTACACGTTCGCCGTATAAAATATAATGCTTGAACGACTGCATACACCCTCAGCCATCAAGTATTAAATTTTATACGGCGAACGTTGAACATAACAAAGCTGAATTAGCTGCTTTTCTAAATACATCAGAAATAGCCTATTGCTTTCTTACATTACTGCTGAACATCACAAGTTTTATGAGGAATGTTTGTAATTTAGCGAAATTGCCGCACACTTAAAGATATAGTGAAGTTAAAACACAAACTTTGTTAGCGGTTTGGCGTTGGCCGTAAACGTCAAGCTAAAGGTCTCTAATATTTGAATATTCAGCCCCCAATTATCGTTCTATAGTTACGCCACTGATCGTAGTGCTCTTTAACTCCATCATAACACTAATACTAATCTACGTGTCTCAGAAATGAATAGCCCCCCCCCGTTCTTCGGTCATAAATGCATGAAATGCAATCTTTCATTCAGATCACTTTCTTTCTCGCTCCCTTTTAATTAAAGCTTATTATGTTTATGTCTCATTACACTATATCAGTTTCGTTAAGAATGTATTACAAAAACTGAATATCGTATTAGAAGCAATATATCGAAGAAATAATTAAACATAATACAAATCAGTTTTAAAACAACGCGTAACCTACCCAGAAATTCGAAAATTGGAGGAGAATTGGTCTTCTGTGAGTGCTAGAAATCGTCCATTCACAATCAATGTCGTTGGGGTATAAATTGGGATATCCAGGACTTTCAAGCGTACCAGGAGTGTAAAGGTGAGAGTTGCCGCATGAAACTCCAACTAAATTAAACGTAAATAAAATTTCTTTGAATATGTAGGAATGAAACTTGAAGAAAAAATGAGAATAAACTCCACGTTCTCGTGGTAGCTACTTTTGTCAATTTTAAGCCAGCTGCTGTTGAGGAAAAACTGAGATTTACTTGTTTGATTTTCGACCATTGATGTCCCTTCACCCTTGTGAGCAATAAGAGCGTCAGTTTCGAAATAATTATCTCCTGTTTTTCAAAGTTCCTTCTCAGAAACCTGGTTTGTATTTATATCTTATATCCGCAGGAATTACATTTGAACATAAGCGTCACATTATATTTGAACATAACATTCCTTTATCGCTCTTTCAATTTTCACAGCGACTTCACACAAATTGCTCATGTATATGTTTACGCTATTAGGGTATGGAACGAGTTATACGACTCAGTTGCCTACCATTGCATTAGCGAAACAATAAGTTACATATTCGCTTAACGAACTTTGACAAAACATTTTTTTAAAGCAATGAGTCGGAGTGTCGACACAAACAAGAACACCTGTGACGAGTGAAAGAAAGAACAGAACTGAAAGGAATACATCATGCCTGTTCTAGTATTGCTTAATGTTCCTTATCATTAATTAACATTACTTTTAGTTGAAAGGGCAAAATGCACAAACGACGGCAAGGCTTGATATAAGATTTACAAACTATAAATACGTTATTAAAGATTTAACATAAATTACCTTCGGTGTAACTAAAAAGAAAGCCATATCTTCGATCACTACCGTCCGTGTGAAATACGATAAAAAAATTTGAGCTGGAAGATCTCAGATTTTCCGGTAATTGTTCGCCACAATATCGCCCGAGTCTTGTTGAATTCACAGAATCACCGTCATACACCTCCAAATAATCATACACACAACCGGAACTTCTTTCCAGCTAAAAGTGAAGCAATTTATTTAATAAAAACATAAAGTGTAATCCATTGTTTTCTCACACTGAGGCAGATTAGAATGTAGCCCTTTTGCCAAATCAGGCTTTACTGCTTCTCCGACTCGCTAAATAATTTTTCCCGTGATCAGGCAACTCTATGGCAGAGCCATGTTGTTGCAATGTTCGAAAATACAGCACAAGCCTTTCGGCTGAATTCGAAGTCTATTGTGTTTTAGTATAAATTTCGAGGTGATTGGTCAAGATTCACTGTCTCAGCCGGGAAGCCTGTGTTGTATTTTCGAACTTTGCAACATTACAAGATTACTATCAAGTCATTGGTCAATGACTATAGCTTTCTTTTGTTGTATTTCAAATAAGAATTTGAAGCCATTATAATTTTTTATGACATTGTGCTGATTATTATTAATTGTGTAGACACCTCGACTAATTATTAAATATTAATTAATATATGTGAAGATCAATAATTGAACACGGTATACATGACCTACCGAGAAATATGAGAACTGCAGAAGAATGTGTTTATCGTTGTTACTTGAAACAATCCATTTGCAGTCAACGTTGTTGGGGTATAGATTGGGATAAAGGGGACTTTTTAGTGTACCAGGAGAATAAAGGTGACTTTGTCCGCATTGATCTGCAAGGAAGTATCAATCCCAATGAGAGCTGTTATTGTAGCAATGAACAAGGGAGAGCAACGTGTATTAGAGGGTACGGGGATTACCTTTGCTTTCACTGATATTGGGGGGCTTAGCGAAATTTTTGGAATGGAAGGATTTGTGGTCCAAATATTCTTCCGACAAAAAATCGAATTGTTTAATGAGGACAATATTAACTTTAACATTATAATATTGGAAGGTTTAGAACACAACAAAAATATCACCCAAAAGAAAAGTGCAAACAGGTCTACAATAGCCTATGCAAGGCACATCCCTAACAAAAAAATGGTAATAACATACAACAGCTGAAACAGAGTTCGGTACTTTGTTCAAGGGGTAGTTACGTACCAGGAGACTCTGAAGGGGTGGAGCCAACACTAGTGCACTAATATGCATGACACGAGAAAACTGCTAAAAGTAACCATTTTGTTTTGTAATGCAGATTAGTGCACTAGTGTTGGCTTCACCTCTGAGACTCTGTTTCTACACAAAATCTTACTCAATAAATAGTACGATCGCTAACAGACATCATCATGCATACTGATAAAATTTATATGCTCTTAAAAGTAAATTAGTAAACACATTTTACCAATTGTGTCGGAATAAGTAAAAGAGAATCCATTATATTCCACATTTTTATCGCTGCGAAATACGATAAACAGATTAGAACCAGAAGATGTTAGATTTCCTGGTAATTGGTATCCACAATATCGTCCCAGTCTCGTTGAATGCACGGAATCACCGTCATAAACCTCCAAATAATCATATGCACACCTTGGGTTATCTTCCAGCTGAAAGTTAAGCAATTTAGAGCAATAATGGAAACATAAAGTTCACAATCGCGGAGATACCGTCAAAAAAGTAATGAACAAGAATCTGAGGACTAAAGTGATTAACAAAGGGCTAAAATGATGTAATTATAAATAAAGGACCAGAGCACATAAAATACACCAAGCTAACATTTCAAAACATTTGGTTCGATTGCTTGTCAATATCATTCCTCCTCGAATTCAAAACTTTCATAATTTTACTACACAATCGAATCAACGGTGAATGAAACCTACCGAGAAATTAAAAAACTGGATGAAAATATGCTTTCCGCCATTTGCAGAAATTGTCCAATTGCAGTCGAAGTTGTTCGGGTATGGATTGGGATATCCAGGACTTTTGAGTCTACCAGGTGTATACAAATGGCTCTGCCCGCACAAGACTGCAACGTAATATTTGTAACAATAAATTCATTATGTCACAACGATGTGATGTAGAGTCGTATAGGTTTTCAATAAGATACGACTTTTCACGAACACACGTTTCGAAATTGAGTGAGTTATTAATTATCCTGAATTGTTTAACACCAATTTAATTCCATGTTTATGTTCCAATTATTTCTCTGATACAACAAAGAATATCTTCTCGTCTGACATTTAGCACTTATATGTATAGAGAGTATAGATATATGAATGTCTAGCACATGTTGAAGAAGTGTTTTAAAAAGATTTATATTTAAATTTAGTACTATAATATAACCTTGCTTAGGTAGTGTATAATGTATTGCTTGACAATCCGTAGTGGAGCCTAAAAAAAGTAAGATTATATTTATTTTTTTTCATCATAGACGTAAGGGATAAGGGATCGGGGACAGCGAATAATACTAGCTAAAATTTCCCAACTCTCGAGTGCAAATGGGCCTAATTGAAACGAATTAAACATATGGAGGGGGCAGGGGCTGCAGAGAGGTGCCTGGTAACTGAGCATAAGTAAGCACCCTTGACCAAGTCGACTGAAAGGAATAAAACTGAAGAATATTAATGTTATTTCGTCAATCAATGCATGCTGCTTGGTTTAATTATATAACCAACAGATATTGTTTCGTAACGACATTAATTTTGAAGTCAAGCGTGTAATTAACTATAATAGCATGCTTTAGAACTTACCTAGAATGAATACGAGGCAAAAAAGAAGTTTAGTTGGCTTGAAAAGAAACATCACTGAAAAATATCATGAGATAAAAATGTAACAAATTCTACTAAGAATATAGCGATGTTTTCAGCAATCATCAGAGGCAATTAGTACGGTCGAAAATATACGTGTGCAATGTTTAATACGACACTACACTACAGCTATACATGCAGCCAACACCGACTTTTTCAAAATTACTAAAATGTTGTGTCGAGGCAAACCACAGAAGCGTACACGGCTAAAAACTCATCAGGTTGTTGCATCAGCATCGAACAATGTTGTGCTGCCCACATTGTTCAGAGTTGTTATCAACATTGAACAATATTGTTGGAACTGAATCGGGTGTAACAATATTGTTCCAAGTTGATAACAACTCTGAACAATGTGGGCAGCACAACATTGATCAATCCTGTTCATATCAATGTTGCATCAACCTGATCGTTTTTAGGCGTGTACGTTTTTCTCATACAGTTTTTTTGTGTGTGTTATGGCCGATTTTGATACCATATATTGAGCAGTTAATTCCGGCAACTTTTAATAGTTCGAGGTCGAGGTGAACCCAGGCATGACAGTTGACAGTCTTGCTATATTCTCTTTGAACAAAAGAATAATTACACACGGCTGGGAATCAATGTGTGATTTCGCTAGATTTTTACCGCCGCGATATATTTCTTTATGCCTGCATATGATAGGCATATTATTTTGCACAAGAAGTTGAACCAAGTCAAAACATCTGCACAAACTTTCCAACTTAAATTCGTAGGTGAATAAATACTTATTCACTTCAGGATTTTCGAGCCGATATTTCTTAGCGCAAAATATATTTCAAAATGACATTAAGGAAACTTGCATTAAGCCTGCATGGGCTCCATTTTATCGTATAATTGCCGTGAACAAGTCATATTTTATGAGAGATAATCCGGTATGCAAATTTGTATGGATTTCGGTATTCAAATCAGGGTTAGTAGATCAAACAACATAACACGAGTTATTTGTTTTCTTGGTCTTGGCCTTTTGCTTTCTTTGATTTCTTGATAGCGGTAATAACAATTTGCCCTTAAATACACGCATATCTACCAACTCTGAGTAAAATAAGTTATTGTTGACTTCCTGCTGCACATTGAGACATTCTATAAATATATCACATCAGCCACCTTCACAAGTTAATTCACGACCCTCACAACTAAATGGAAACCAGACATCACGTATGGTACTCACACTTGGCTCTGTGCTGTGTTTTAATGCACATATAGGACTTTAATTAAAATCTATAGCGGAAGGTACAGTCTACAGGTAAATTTTAAAGTTAAAGAGTAGTTCTTTGTAATCTGTTCCTTGTCGAGTGAAGACACGAAATAAAGCCTCAATGACCCATATATAATAAAAATCTAGATCGTCAATGGTTAACACTGTAACACGCGATTGCGGAATTACACCAGGCTGTACACACATATTTCGCAGTATGTAAACAGTTCCGGAAAATCTTTACACCGAATAATGTCTCGTTTATTTTATATCCATTCACCAACACTTATAATAATAATTATGATCAAGTGTGAATATCTTACCTTGGAAAATAATCACACAATATTCCGTTATATTCGAACGTAAAATTTATTCTGGGTGAGAATATGGCGTGCGTTTTTATTCACATCGGAATACTTCGAATATTTCGAGGATATTCACAGTAAAGGTCATACTCAGTGTCTTACTGTATTCAAAATCACATGATTGTCATGAAAGAATACTTTCACCTTGCTAGCAATCGAATGAGGTTTAGTTTAGTTCTTTCTTCATGTGCCTCACCATGTTCAAAATAATATTTTGTTGGGGTTTTCGGTTCGCTTTTGTTGCACTTTTAACTTCTGTTCGCATTTCAGTTTGGTATTTCCGTTTGAGCTGGTTTAAAACTTGGCGTAGTGCGTGATGTTAGAATGACTCAATGCTTACGCAGCGTGCTCGGTGTCGTGTCGCTTTGTATAGTCACATAAACTGATATGGAACTATAGCTGGCACTGAACGTTTTATGGGCCATGCTTAACTTTTTGCCAAAATTCTTGCGAAAAAGAGCAAGTAATAATGCAGACAGGGTAATTAAATCCACTGCGGGATCATATGCAATGTAAAGCCTAGAAAGCATTAAAGTTCTTCGGAATGTACCTAACTCATCTACGAGTTCGGTCCATCAGTAATTAATTGAAATTAGTCATATGCCGCGAAAAACAAATATTGATATTTACCTTCAATCTGTTTTCTTTAGACCTTGCTTTTGGTTTGAAAGTGTAAAGCAAGAATTATTTTAAATATGTCTTAGGCCATTGTTGATCAGTTGAGTTTCTTATATTTTAATCTCCTAGGGACCCCCCTGCGTTAAAGATACATAACACGTCTGGCTAATTTGCAAGCGAAATCTCTAGCTTGTCATTCATAATGATCAGCGGAAATCCCCTGCAGAATAGCCAATGCGCGCAATAATCTTGCGTTAAGATCTCCATTAGTTTGCGTTTCATTTTCGCTTTTGAACCAAAAAACTAGCTGCTGTATATAGCAATTAGCAAGGAATATATACATATTTAGGGTTGGTATTTATCACACAATTCCTAATCACTAATGCAAAGCTGTAAGGCGTCCTTTTCAGACAATGGCCATTTTCCAACTATAGAGACACATAATGCGTCTTTAATATTTTTTGTCTAGTATAAAGAAGGGACAACTAATCAGACAAATAAGTCGATGAAAACTCGCGCGAATAGATTATATGAAAATGTCTGGTTTATTTTATCACTGTCTCATTTTCCAGAATTATTCGTCTATGTGCCGTCTTCACACGGGAGACGCATTATCCGTCTAGACGAACTATCGTTGGTTATACGTCTCTGACACGAAAAACTGAACATATTATACGTTTGTTGTCGGTCTTTATACTGAAGACGGATAACTAGGGAAGATGCATTATGCGTCTCTAGTGTGAAAACGGCCAATGCTTCATTGCTTTGCTTCAAGGTTTCAATGCAAAATTTATATAACTCTGCCTTTCTCCGACTTCCCTTCTGTTAGTTTTTTGCCTATTTTTCTTTTTGCTTAAGTCGAGTGGGTAAGATATCTGTATCAAGGTTCAGCCCAGGTGCATTGTGAGGCATCAACTTTGTCAGACAATCACTATAGACTCCGACTTCCCTTCTGTTAGTTTTTTGCCTATTTTTCTTTTTGCTTAAGTCGAATGGGTAAGATATCTGTATCAAGATTCAGCCCAGGTGCATTGTGAGACATCAACTTTGTCAGACAATGACTATGGCCACTTTTAAAATGGGAGCAGGGAATCCGGGAATCGTGGAATCGAAACTAAAAATCGGGATTCCGGGAATCGGAACTCGGTAATCATGGAATCGGAGTTCGGTACTCGGGGAATCCGGGATTCTGGGAATCGGGGGTTCCATGCAGGAAACCACCTAAAGAACGAGAAACAAGCTCGAAATAATGCGCATCAAAAACTGATAAACATATGCATGTATAAGCGTTTTAAATTATCAAATCACCAACACTTTCAGTTGAGTCAAAACAGGATACGTATAAATTATAATAAAGCAACATTGCTATCGTATCATTTCAAACCCATGTCAGGACATATGGCACTTGTCACTTGCCAAAGAGTGTAATTAAATGATATTCTTTGCAGCTGTGATGTAAGGCAGCGTAAAATGGGCTTAACCTTTGGGGTATTGAAATGGGTAAATAACATGACCTGGTAATCGTGTAGACATCCTAACAATAGCATGTGCTAGTTTGGTTTAAAAAGAACTTGTTATTAAAAAATCATCTCAGGCTTCGTTAAATCTCGGGTAACCTGGCTCATGTGACTGCTTCAAAGTGTATTTTTTTACACTCTTGGCAAGTGACAAGTACCATTTCCGGCGCTATCGATTACATGCATGAAGGCACGATTTGAATAATAGACATGCCGGTCTGCGAAATACGAAAATATCTTAATATTGAAAATGCACGAGTTTGCACTCATCGAAACTTTTAAGCACTTCCGAAGACGGTATAATTATGTGGGTAAGGGTAAAACGCGGAAGCGGAATGGCGGAGGCGGAATGACGGAAGCGGAATGAGGGGTAAAACGCGGAAGCGGAAAAAAGGGTAAAACGCAGAAAAGAGGGTAGACGCGGAAAAAAGGGTAAAACGCGGAAAAAAGGGTAAAACGCGGAAAAAAGGGTAAAACGCGGAAAAAAGGGTAAAACGCGGAAAAAAAGAGTAAGACGCAGAAAAAAGGGTAAAAAACGGAAAAAAGGGTGAGACGCGGAAAAGAGGGTAAAACGCAGAAAAAAGGGTAAAACGCGGAAAAGAGGGTAACACGCGGAAAAAGGGGTAAAACGCGAAAAAAAGTAAAACGCGGGAAAAAAGGGTAAGACGCAGAAAAAGGGTAAAACGCGAAAAAAAGTAAAACGCGGGAAAGCGCTTGCCGTGCGGCGTGCGTGAACCTTAAGTCTGGTTTCCATAGACGCCGACGTGGCCCGTGGGCAAAGTATTATTGTCGGTGATTATTGTATTTTATTGATGAGTGAAATATTTTGTCTTAAGCTTTCTGAAATCATTTTCTCCTTAGATAATATAACTAATTTACATGCTACAAATGCGAGGTAACTAAGTAATGTACTATTACTGATACATATTAGCCAGCTAAGGTGAAGCATACAGACATATATTAATAGTATGTTTCAATTTTGTAGAGGAGGCACACTATATTTTGAGCCCGTCGTATAGAATTAACCTGCTGGACTCTGGATTGCCTGTCTCATGTGTGTGCTCTTCCTATTTGTGGTAGACCAGCCTGACCAGGTAGAGCCCGGCTTCAACTCCTCAAGACACAACACATATTAGATGGCACACAAAAAGATCAGTTCATTGAGTTATTGTGATAATTGGTGGTACACAGAACTCATTTGAATACACTGTCAATGGTTTAGACAGTGAGCACAATTTACAAATATTTACCTCACAGGTATATTACATTAGCAGCCATATGCAGCTACATACAGTACAGTCTATTAAGACAAACAATGTAATATACTGATGGTATCCAGTTCTGCAATTCAAAAGGTTTAAAATATTTACCGACTCAGCTTTATCTCATCAGTTTTTATGATTTTTAATTGTCATTCATTTTAAATCCGGTAATGAATTATTAATAATATTTATACCACTGTAATTAAGACTTAATTATGATAATATTAAAATTATGATATGTCAGTAAATATTTTAATTTTATTATTTTTATTATGCTTAAGATTTGAACTGACTACATTTTAAAAATTAGAGGTTATGGTAGCCAAATTGATAATGGGATGTATGGTAGTCATATTCAATATTTGAAATGTTGAGGAGTGGAGAAAGTCAATCACAGTCACTCTTATTTTTATGGTAACTTTGATTAAAACTTCATAAGTTTTAAGCATATAATCTGCATTTTCTGGACAAACACTTTGCTTTCATCTGGTATTACTGTCACTTTATCTTATTTTATGGGCATTGATGTTTATCAATTTCATGTAAACTTGCTGTTATTCACCATATGACCCTTTTGAATTGCAGGACTGGGTAGCATTTGGTAGCATTATCTTTATAGCATAGGATATTTCATTACGACATTACCTACAAACAAACTATATATTTTTAATTTTATTTCTACCCCCGAAGGCTGTATTGATATCAGTAGATTACATTGTTTGTCTTAATAGACTGCACTGTATGTAGCTGCATATGGCTACCAATGTAATGCCTATGTGGTAAATATTTGTGAATTGTGCTCACTGTATCCACCATTTAACAATTAGACAACGAGTCCGAGTTGTCTATGAGCGAATAGTCAACGAAGGCGAAGCCTGAGTTGACTATTCGTTCATGGACAACGAAGGCGAGTTGTCTAATTGTTTTAGTATACACCCTGTACCTAGATATATTAAATTCGAGAAAATAATCGATACACCACAATTACACCGAAAAATAATTTAATTAATTTAATTTTATACGGTCGCGCGAACGTCACTCACGCGACATAAAATGACATGTAAACAATACGTATAATACACGCGAGATCAACGGTCAGAAGCAAACAGTTTGGTTTTAAAATGCCCAAAAAACGTTCGTAAGTAAGATTTCTTCTTAAATGTTATAAACGAAAAAACTACCAAGGGAAGAAAAGTTCAACGGGAAAGTGGGAACGATCATTCTTGTCTGGTGTAGTTGTTGTTAAAGATTGACACTGTGCAGCCATGGAAATTGAACGATTGTGGAGCTTGCATCTGGATATTTGTGGCTTGGTTTTCTATGCGAAACTGGACATCAGGGCTAGCTCGATCAGTCATTTCAGGTGCTGAAGACGTCGACTTTGCGGATGATGTTTGCATAAGGTCTGACTTGCTGTAAGTAGAGCTGCAGTGGCTAGACTGAATGGAAGGATTACTCTCGCCCGAGACGAAGCGACTTAGGATATTCGACATGTTTTCCTTTTGTTCGAAAGATGCTCTCGCGCTGTACGACTGAATGGAGAAGTCAGATTTGTGACCAGTAACGGCTTTGATGTGTCTTGCCTCTATATTGTGGTCGGACAAAACTGTGACAGACGTAGCTCGAATGCAATGATTTGTTAGGTGGGGGACTATCCCGGCGGCTTTCGACATTGTCTTGAGTAGATTCACGAGCGTGTTTATACCAAGGGGAGAATTACAGAACCAAACTTCATCACTGTCTACATGAAACTTGGCACAAATTTCTCTTGGCCGTTGAAACAAAGCGTCGTGATTTGGATTAAGGTGCTTCATTAAGTTTTCTACGGTTTTAACTGGACAACGACGTGAATTGGGAACTTCAAACATTTTGCCGTCAGCTTCGTCGATGTTGTCGTTCAGACCGCCTTGGTGGTTTTTTGTTGAAATTAACGCTTCGCGATGGAGCTCGTAGTATCGGCGTGCTTGTGTTGTTGAGCGAAGGACCAGCATCTGTTTGGTAAGTTTTCCTAGATTTTCTCGGCCTCGTTTACCAAAATAGAGGGTAATATAAAACCAAGCTGTTTGCATGAGCTGACGAGGATTTTGCGAGTCGCTGTTGCCAAGCTGGCCACTTTCATACAATTTTTCCAGTTGTTCTGGCGTGATTGCAGCTTTGTGGACAATTGCTCCGACTTTTCCTTCCCTCGTCTGTTTCTTACAAATAGCATTCAGGGTTTTGTTGGCTTTCTCAAATGCAGGGTCAGCAATTATCGACCAAGGCTTGTTGTTTGGTGCTTGTTTTAAATGCCTGTCAATCGCTGAACGTATACTGCGAAGCGTAGTAACTTTAAATTCGCTACCGTCTCTTTGTCTTGCAGCGGCATAAAATATTTGGAGGCACTGACAAAGCTCGTCTTTGGCCATTTGTTCCATTGGTGTAGTGAATTTAGACTGTGCGGCAAACCATTCTAAAAATACAGTTTTTATAGTGCAAATTGACGAAAATGTTGTGAATTTAGGCCTATTTAACCACTCGTGAGCGCCGAATAAAAGCAGATTTATTAATAAAATACGGTTTTCTATTTCGTTCCTTACCATTAAAAATTTTCATGCCATATTTTGTAGCCTGTTTAGTTTTTGCAGGGACAGAATTCTCGATCAAACTCTCTAAAAATTCCTCAGAAACCTCGGCAAAACAAGAGTTTACTGCCATATTTTTCATGTTTGTTTTGATTTTTCCCAAACGTGCACCATCACGAATAGACAATGGTTGAGTGGCCAATGAGAATGTAGGATTTGTAATAGACAAGAGTCGGGTGTATACTAAACAGTGATAGTGTATTCAAATCAGTTCTGTACGTCTACTACCAATTATCACAAAACTCAATAAGCTGACCTTTTTGTGTGCCACCTGGCACCTAAGTATGTGATGTGTCTTGAGGGCCCTACCTGGTCTACCACAAATAGGAAGAGCACACACATGAGACAGGCAATCCAGATTCCAGCAGATTAATTCCATACGACGGGCTCAAAATATAGTGTGCCTCCTCTACAAAATTGAAACATACTAATATATGTCTGTAGCTATATCTGTATAAATTCTCGATATATTTCGAACCTTGTTTAACTAAAGCCTGGTTTCCATATGACGCCGACCTGTCGCCAACTCATTGTCCGTAATCATCTGAGGAGAAAATGATTTCAGAAAGCTTAAGACAAAAGATTTCACTCGTCAGTAAAAGACAATAATCACCGAATAATACTTTGCCCACGGGCCACGTCGGCGTCTATGGAAACCAGGCTTAAGGTTCACGCACGCCGCACGGCAAGCGCTTTCCTGCGTTTTACTCTTTTTTCCGCGTTTTACCCTCTTTTCCGCGTTTTACCCTTTTTTCCCCCCTCCCGCCCCTTTTTTTTTACCCTCTTTTCCGCGTTTTACCCTTTTTTCCGCGTTTTACCCTTTTTTCCACGTTTTACCCTCTTTTCCGCGTTTTACCCTCTTTTCCGCGTTTACCCTTTTTTCCGCTTCCGCGTTTTACCCCTCATCCCGCTTCCGTCATTCCGCTTCCGCCATTCCGCTTCCTCGTTTTACCCTTACCCACATTTGCGGTTGAAGAAATTTACTTCCTTTACGACATATAAACTTGTACTCGTGTGCAGTGGGCTACCCAGGGAGTTCAGTTGATATCTCCCAGTTACAGAAACTGTTTATGTTTCTCTTCGTATTAGCCGAATCATCAGAGCCGACAGTTGAATCTGTATCAACACTATAGATACCAGAATCCGCGGTGTCTTCTTTGAGAACACTTGCTTCACCTTCGACTACACTTGTAGACTTTTTAAAAAAGATTTTACAAGATTTTCGAATAGCCTTAAGGATCTTACTGTTATGGTTATGTTAACGGAGAGAATTACGAGGAAGTTATACTGTTTATCGAACAGTATTTGGCGTTGAGCTCGACATGTTTCGTGACGACAGAATCACATTTCAGACCGAAGGGGCATAAAAGATATTCTGAAACAGGTAAAATATCATTTTCTTAAATTATATTTATACACTCAGTATATTATTGCCATTATTAATGTATATTATGGCTTGTACTTCGAAAAAAATACACTATCATCGTTGTGCATTTTATCGTACTGAATGCTTATCCAATGATTTTCCTAGCGTCTCCAATTTTCGAGCACAAGCGCGGAAATGTACCTGTTTCGATTTTTGGAATCCTTTTGTGATCGTTGGAGCAGAGATCAGACACTGTTTACATGGTTCTGAAAAGGTACAACGCATTTTTTTACAATTATTTTTTACACAATTATTTTTTTTTTCATTACCAAAGTCTATATATAGGATGCGAGAGGTAGTTGGAAGCCAAAGCCTGTACACGAGCACAACTATGGAAGGAATCGTCGAATAAAATTACAAGGAACGCGAAAACTAAATTGTTCGGTTGCTGTACAACTACGGCATATTGAAGTATTCGACGAATTTGAATTACCAAATGATTTGCCTACTCCTAACAGCATCCGAATGGCCAAAGAGAAAACGCCAGAAGAGCTTAAAAAAAAACTGGGTTCAAATGAGGCGTTAAAGACATCTACACGACACTACTTGAAAATCCCTTTAAGCAAGGAGCATTCAGGGCATCCAGTTGGAGAAAGTTCGTCGGTAAACCAAGTAATTCACAAAAGAATCATCGAACGAATCTATGATCTCGCAAAGAAAAATGTCACTGGTGTAAAGGAGGTTAAACGATGTCTGCACGAATTCGTGGAAAAAGAGCTACTTTCTGGTGCTCCGAAACACACGTGGCCAAGGAAAACAAATCGCAGATACTATCCGAGTTCCAATGACCTACGAAATCATATTTCAAAAGCTATTGCCGCTGGAAAATACTGCAACGATGACCAAGAGTCTCTTCTTCGAAAAATAACTGATTTAAAAAAGTCTTCGCCATGTACAAGATTCTTCCTGCGAACCCAAGAGGGCGAACCGAACTATTTTGGTGCCAGCGTGCCCACTAACGAGAGCGATAATTTTTTTTTTGTTCATCACGAAGAGTGGCAACGAAAACTTCTTCTGAAATATGGAAGCGATCTTGTCCTCCTTGACGCGACGTACAAAACCACGAAATATGCCATGCCGTTGTTCTTCTTGTGCGTAAACACCAACGTTGGCTACAAAGTAGTTGCTGAGTTTATGTGTCAACACGAGGACGAAATTTCCATATCCGAAGCCTTGGGGATCTTGCGAGGATGGAACCGGGACTGGAGTCCAAAATACTTTATGGTGGATTTTTCAGCCCCTGAAATTGGGGCGATCGAAATGTGCTTTCCTGGTGTTATTGCATATATCTGTGATTTCCACCGTCAGCAGGCAATCCAGCGTTGGGTCAGATTGGGGAAAAACGGGCTTGATCAGAGTGAGCAAGAGTTTCTCCAGAAATCAATGACAACAATTGGCAGAGTTGCAACAGAGGCGCAGTATAACGACGAGTTAACCAAGCTTCGCCAATCAATGCTCTATAAAACAAAGGGAAATGTGAGAAGTTATGTGGAAAAAACGTGGATCGCTTGTCATTTTCGCTGGTGTCACGCCTTTTGAAAATCACAAGCATTAAACATCGTCAATACCAATAACGGAGTCGAGTCTATGAACAGGCTATTCAAGTACGACTACCGCATCGTCGTCATGATTGTATGTTCTTTCCTGCCAGATTCATATCAAACCTACCTAAGTGCTAACTTACGTTTGAGTGGTTCATACCGAAAGTACAACGCGATTGTTCCTGACTACCTGCAAAACCGTCCACCAAACTTCGTTAAACATTGTCTTAAAAATAAATTCGCCGCCCAGGAGATCCAGGAAAAGGACATTACTTGTTTAAACGATCAACAAGGGAAGTTTCTGGTCAAAAGTTCAAACAAGAAACTGAGCTACCTGGTTCAATTCTCATTTCCGAGCTGCACATGCGAATCTTGGAGGCAATCCACTTTTCCATGCAAGCATTTCTTTGCGATCTTTAATTTCTTTTCCAAGTGGCAATTTTCGAGCTTGCCTTTGGCCTATCGAGAGAGCATCTTCATTACACTAGATACTGACGGTTTGCTAATCAATCCACCAACTTCCATAAAGAAAACAGTAGATCCACCTGAACTCCAGACGTAACTCCAGAGGGATCACCACCGGACTTGCAAGCACTTGGAAGCAATCAGTCTTTGTCTGCAAACAATTTCACCTCACCAGTATAGAACCCGGCACTCTTGCGACACTCAAGAGACAGTTTCAAGATAAGCTCTCTGGACTGAAGAATATCTCGTTTTTGGTAAAAGATGCGAAGATGCTTCGAGTCGCGATAAACATTGCTGACAATCTACAAGTGGCACTTCGCTCAACTTGTCCAAAGGTAGATGGACTTTTTCTAAGAAGTAGCCCTGAAAAGAAGAAATTGAAAATTACATCAACAGATTACCATAAAGTATTTCATAAGAAGTTGTCTCTTAGGAAAAAATGGAAGAAGATCGTTTCACCAACAAATATCAACACAAATGAAGATAAGGTGAAAATTTCTTTTAAAAAATTAAATGACTCTTCCCCACCTACAATACAGAAAACAACTATTATATCGCTGTTACAACAAATTTGATTGATCTTCTTTTACAGGAATTACTTGTACAAGAAAGAGCACCCATTCATTGATCTTACTCTGGACCCACCCAATGAAGAGTTATTCGATCCTGACACAAAACCATTACTCAAAAACAGGTGCATATACTTTCATTTTTAAGTCTCTGTAATGCTTGTATCTATATCGTTATACTCAGTTATTGCCCAGATTACAGAATACCTGAACCCAAAATTGAGAATAAGATTCTTTAACAATTAATTTAATCTTTAACGTTTAGCCCTGCGTTATCTCAGATATAGAATGAGAAAAGCACATAAATAGAGATTACTTCATGGTTGGCGAGTGCGTACGATTTTTATGCACGAGTTGTGAAGGATCGCAATACGAACGAGTGAGCGCAGCGAACGAGTGAGTTTGCGATCCTTCGCAACGAGTGCGTAATAAAAATCGTACAAACGAGCCAACCATGAAGTAATTTGTTTATTAAATGTGTATAGAGATCAATTTGACAACGACACGCTTTTACTATACAAAAACACAGCGAGCAACAAAATCGAAACTTTATGCATGAAAACATATTTATTACCGTTCAGTTTCTTTGTAATTTTGTTCAATAGAAGTTAGACATTCTTTCCGAAAGATTTGAGAATGTGCTGAATGTAAAAATATCTTGAATATGAGAATTATGTTTTGAATCTCACTCCTATATCTCGAGCCCATCTTGAAAGAAAATTTAAACAAATTGCCGCCAAAATGACATACGACAATTTTTCACGTGTGAAGAATATCGTACGCCCAATCAAAAGCCGTGTATGGCCTTTTTTTTACACGTGAAAAACATCGTACGTCCAATCAAATTGCATTAAATTAACTTGCACAGTGAAATACGATTTTTATTTCATCAATCTGCTGTGCATAAATCTCTATACACATATAATAAAGAGATTTAGCCAATACAGAGTTTATGGAATGAGCATATTAAATACAGTTTCTTTTCAGCTGTGATTTGCTAATGGAAATTGAAGACATGATCAAGCTCGTCCACAACAAAATACCTCTCGCCATACAAAAGAATTATTTACGCGTGCAAGAATGGGTCTCAGAACACAGGTACAGTACTGGAATTTGGACCCGTGAAACTGAACATATCAGACATGTGCACATTACTCCCCCCTGGCTATAGCATCATGTTCAAGGAAATAAAGTCAGTTGTACACAAAAATTTTGTTCCTGGTTGGCTTATAGATAAGGTAGTTACTTTTTTAAAGTTGTATTAAATTTCGAAATAGCAAATTCACAGAGTGATTTATAAAAAATTGTCACTACGTCACAGAATAGGTATTAACCAGGTTGATATAGGAATTAACATGGTTTATCCCTCTTCGGTGACTATGTAGCAGATACTGTAGTTTTGTTATTATAAAAACCCCATTAACTGTTGCATACTCTCCCACCAGTTGAGGAGGAAATTGTTTGATGATACATTTGGGCATATTGCTTGTGGAAATATAATATTTTTTTTTAAACAGAAGAAACAATTCACTTTGCAAAGTTTGTAAAGAAGATGATGGGGATGACTGGATTGGTTGTGATGCTTGTGGCCAATTTTTTCATGCCAGCTGTTTCATGTTGGATTATGGTCAAGCATTACAAGACATGTTTTACTGTAATTAGATAATGCTGGGGCCCAAAAAACCCTGTGGTTCCGGTTTCATATTGTGAACTCTATGAACAACCTGCAATACACTGTATGAGCAACCTGCAACCACCCAAATAAAATAGGGTTGCACCATCAATGATGTCAAAAAATGTGGGTTGATTGGCAGAAAAAAATAGGATTGGTTGGGAAGTCGGAACCACAAGTACTTTTTTCTTAGCCCTGGTCTATTCCAATCAGTCAAAACAATAAACCATGCATAAGATAGTTTGGGCTATACAGGGATGTGTCACTTATGGGGCATCTGTCACATCATGCCACCTGACAGTAATGTTTTGAATAACATTTTGCCGGTGCTACGTACTGGATGCAAATATTATTTTTGGTTGGTAACGTAGGGGATAGTCAGAGTTATATATAGAAGTGGGTATATAGATAGAATTTTATGACATAAATTTTTATTGTAGTTGAGAAGTATTGCACCTCAACATTTTGTAATAGTTTTGTAAAATCTTAAGTTCGTAAAAAATAATCTCACCCAGTGAAATGAATACAAAGATCCAAAGATGCATATTAAATCCAAATGTGCATCAGCAAAATAGTTGAGGATGTGAATAGACACTGTAAATACTTAAAATAACACGCATACAAAAGTATTTAAGGTGGCTCCCTACAATTTTTTAAAATATTGAAAACTTGTGGTTTTGATTTAAGATTTTAGCGCGAGATTTCTTGCTAAGGAAAAGAAATTTCCCAGATATATTAACCAACATTCTAACAGTCAGAAATTGCCCATAAGCATGACGTCATTACCGTTGTTATGGTAACAATGGCGATTCAATATGGCCGACACTTTACCTATTCACGCATTTTACTCGAAAACAAGTTCGGTTACCCCAATTTTTTATTTTATAAAACGTTTTCTTACAAAAAAATGGAAAATTTGAACCAGTTAAAAAAAATTCTATAGAGCCAAATTTATTAAAAATTAAAAAACTTGATTTTTCGTTATAGAAATTTTTTCGCTCTATAGAATTTTTTTAAACTTGCTCAAATTTTTTTTTTGTAAGAAAACTTTTTATAAAATAAAAAATTGGGGTAACCGAACTTGTTTTCGAGTAAAATGCGTGAATAGGCAAAATGGCGGGCATATTGAATCGCTATTGTTACCATAACAACGGTAATGACGTCATGCTTATGGGCAATTTCCGACTGTTAGAATGTTAGTTAATATATCTGGGAAATTTCTTTTCCTTAGCAAGAAATCTCGTGCTAAATTTTAAATCAAAACCACAAGTTTTCAATATTCTTAAAACTGTGGGGAGCCACCTTAAAGTTCTGTGCCGCCGATCTGTTTTGCAATCTCAATACGAACATGCTACCATTATTTACGAAGAAATAACGAGTTTGTGTGAACAACCGCATACCAAATGTATTAATGTCACCCACAAAGAACGCCCGTGAGGTAGTCAACCCCACTGAGCTATATAATAATTCCTGGAGGACCGGCACCTGTCAAAAAAGTGAAGCAAGAAACATGGCGGATTTTTTCGTGCTGACGCCAGATATGGTCCGAAGAGGTCATGGCAATTACCACTGACAACCGCGATACAATGCTTCAGGCGCACTCCTTCTCCCTCCGGCTGTTTTCAATTTTATTTTAATTTTTCTTGTGATTTTTTCGTATTTTTTCAACCGAACATTGATAGTTTTTCACTGACGTGAAGGAACAACTGCCTTTTTTCAGTTTGGGGATGCTGTTAGTCGCTAAAAAGGGGGAATATCGACTCCGACTCGCACTTGTAAGACTTACATTTGTTTTTGAATCTACTTTGGTGGCATTTTTAGCTCGCCTGCACTTTAGTGCAAAAGAGCTATTGCTATAGTCTTGGCGTCCGCGTCCGCGTCCCCGTCCCCGTCCCCGTCCCCGTCCCCGTCCGCGTCCGCGTCCGCGTCCGCGTCCGCGTCCGCGTCCGCGTCCCCGTCCCCGTCCCCGTCCCCGTCCCCGTCCCCGTCCCCGTCCCCGTCCCCGTCCCCGTCCCCGTCCCCGTCCCCGTCCCCGTCCTCGTCCCCGTCCTCGTCCCCGTCCGCGTCCACACTACATGATAAGTAGAATGTTAAGATGCCACTTTTATTTTCCCATTATTTTCAACTTATCTACTTAAGGAGTCTATTTGTTGCAAAAGAACCATTTACCAGGGGGGAGTGAACATTATACAACAAAATATAATGATAAGGTCAATGTTAAAATGCTATATTTTTTCTATACTTTGGCTTTACATCAGAGGAATCATTATCAATATAAGTCATCAATATGCATTGTGACTATTTATTGCCATTTGGTACACATATATACAATAATAAAGAGAGTTTTGCTCAAAATTATCAAATGATAAGGTGAATGTTAAGCTAATTAGCATAATGATAAGGTCAATGTTAAGATGTTATATTTTTTAAATATTTTGGCTTTGCATCAGAAGATTCATCATAAATATAGCTCATCAATATGTCTTTTGACTATATGGTGACATTTAGTACACATTTACACAAAAATAATGGGAATTTTGTTCAAAATTATCAAATGATAAGGTGAATGTTAAGCTAATTAGCATAATGATAAGGTCAATGTTAAGATGCTATATTTTTTAAATATTATGGTTTTACATATCACAGGAATCATCATAAATATAAGTCATCGATATGCATTGTGACTATTCAGTGCCTTTTGGTACACATTTATACAATAATAAAGAGAGCTTTGCTCAAAATTATCAAATGATAAGGCAAATGTTAAACTTATTAGCATCATGATAAGGTCAATGTTAGAGTTATCCAGAGTTATCACGCTCATTACGATTTTCAGGGCTATTGTGTAGCCCTGTTTTTTTTAGTTCAAAGTTGTAGCTGAATCATATTTAACGAAACTATTTGTACAACCCTAAGCCAAATGAAAAACTTTCAAATATTTTCACCTGTATGCTACCATTTGTTTGTATTGTACATGTACAATTATAAATTATGAGATTGTGTTGTGACATGCCGTATCAAAATTCAATCGCTTATTAAATGACTTAAATATAGAAATCATTCAGGGAGTGAAAATATATAAAACATAGTCCAACGTTAAAGTTTAAAGAATATTGTCAGATAATTCGCAATTACAAGCTTTAGCACATAAGTATTTATAAGTAGAAAGCCGATAGGCTCGAAATGCAAAGGAAATGGCAACGCATGTGACATATATTTGCATATTATTTATGTAGATACACAAGCAAATATATTATTAAAGCACCTATAAGATTTATGTACATACCATTTCGTTGTTTGATGCATAATCCTTTTTTGTGTAGATATAAAAATCCAATCTTGTTTATTTCATAAAGCTAGGCGCACACACAACGATTTTAGTCGGCCGATTCCTGTCTAGATTGTCTAGATGGATGTTTTCATCAAAATGTGGCGACTGGCAATCTATACTTGGTCAGATTAGACCAAGTAGACTCGCGTACACGCGCGAGGCGCGAGCGCCGCGAGAAGGAAAACATGTCTGGGCAAGGGCAGCCTATATGTCTAAACCTGAATGGACCAACTACCGTAAAATCGTTGTGTGTGCGCCCGGCTTAAAGCAGGGACTTTTGCCTGGTCCGTTAACTTACCTGTTGATATCACGTGCGCGGATTGCGAGAAACGGAAGAAGTATTGGTCACAAATAAAACTAATGTAATTCCGAGGCCAGTTTTGGCCAGTAATTCTGAGGTCACAACTAATATCTGAAGTTTGTGCTTAATATTACCTTCCAACGCGGATTTTAGCCTTGTAATTTGTAATAAAAAGATCGGTAATTTGTGCTTCATACAGATACCTTTCATACAGAGTTTAGCCTTATTCTAGACAAACAGTGCAGGCGAGCGTTAGGTGATTTCAGCACCTCTCTGGTTAATTTTTACTACTACTTGCACAGAAGATGTACATAAAGCTTCCTGTTTCCGAGCTTCACGCTTATAATAATGGATCAGAGTTTATTTACATCAATTTTTTTTAATACGTAATTTATAAGTGCAGTTGTTTCGCAATCGTTAATTTTTGTGCCAAAATGATATATTTCAACATCTTGTTGCAAGATCTTTGCACTTGCCAGGCATTTGCATCATTTTATTTAACCCTGTATCCTTCAGTATGTATGTGTATCAAGCTGAAATTTTTAGCTGAGGTTTAATAATTTTGGCAAAAGCCATAACAAAGTGATATGAACTAGTATTCTGCATATAGGATTGCTTTTACTTGGTCAATAGTTCTGTTTTGGCTAAGATCAGACATTTTATTTTCACTTTTCAATGGGAGAATGGCTACATGGTTTATAATTTATATTTATATTTACATATTTAAATGTCAATTGTGGGAAAATAGAAACCAGAAATAGCAGAGCTTGCCCACTTTTCCCATTTGTAGTAAAACTATACACAATGCAAACTAACTTTGATCTGGTATCATACAGTGAACATAATAAACATTATTATATGGCACGCGGTCTCGTGACTAAAATGGCGTGCGCTGATTGGTTCTTTGCCGGTCTGGAATCCCCCAGTATTAGACCGTTGCCGTGGTAACGGTCCAACTCTCATATTTTTGAACAAAAACAAGCTTGCACTTTTATTTTTGACACGAAAAATATCGACGGAGAATGGACGAAGAAGGGCATTATTTGGTACATGTGAATATTATATTTATTTATCTTTGATTTTTAGCTCGCCTGCACTTTAGTGCAAGAGAGCTATTGCTATAGTCTTGGCGTCCGCGTCCCCGTCCCCGTCCCTGTCACCGTCCCCGTCCGCGTCCACACTACATGATAAGTAGAATGTTAAGATGCCACTTTTATTTTCCCATTATTTTCAACTTATCTACTTAAGGAGTCTATTTGTTGCAAAAGAACCATTTACCAGGGGGGAGTGAACATTATACAACAAAATATAATGATAAGGTCAATGTTAACATGCTATATTTTTTCTATACTTTGGCTTTACATCAGAGGAATCATTATCAATATAAGTCATCAATATGCATTGTGACTATTTAGTGCCATTTGGTACGCATTTATACAATAATAAAGAGAGTTTTGCTCAAAATTATCAAATGATAAGGTGAATGTTAAGCTAATTAGCATAATGATAAGGTCAATGTTAAGATGCTATATTTTTTAAATATTATGGCTTTACATCAGAGGAATCATCATAAATATAAGTCATCGATATGCATTGTGACTATTCAGTGCCTTTTGGTACACATTTATACAATAATAAAGAGAGCTTTGCTCAAAATTATCAAATGATAAGGAGAATGTTAAGCTTATCATCATCATGATAAGGTCAATGTTAGAGTTATCCAGAGTTATCACGCTCATTACGATTTTCAGGGCTATTGTGTAGCCCTGTCTTTTTTAGTTCAAAGTTGTAGCTGAATCATATTTAACGAAACTATTTGTACAACCCTAAGCCAAATGAGAAACTTTCAAATATTTTCACCTGTATGCTACCATATGTTTGTATTGTACATGTAGAATTATAAATTATGAGATTGTGTTGTGACATGCCGTATCAAAATTCAATCGCTTAATATAGAAATCATTCAGGGAGTGAATATATATAAAACATAGTCCAACGTTAAAGTTTAAAGAATATTGTCAGATAATTCGCAATTACAAGCTTTAGCACATAAGTATTTATAAGTAGAAAGCCGATAGGCTCGGAATGCAAAGGCAAATGGCAACGCATGTGACATATATTTGCATATTATTTATGTAGATACACATGCAAATATATTATTAAAGCCAGTTAAATTGTAGACAGGGCCCTATAAGATTTATGTACATACCTTTTCGTTGTTTGATGCATAATCCTTTTTTGTGTAGATATAAATAAATAAAACATTGTATAAATAAATAAACTAAATTAATACTGTATGCCATATAATAAATCCCTTATTAACCGAATACGTTCGTTCCGTACTGGAAAAATATCAGACCTCGGTCTTTTATGTACGAACCTCGCTATCGCTCGGTCCGTACTGTCAAGACCTCGGTCTGATATTTTTCTAGTACGGACCTCAAATTCGGTTAATAAGTGGTATGTATTAATAAATAATTCAAATTTGGTGCAAACCTTACAATGAAAATGCTGAACAGATTAGGTAATAAAAGCAAATTTTAGACCATAATAATATACAAAGCCATATTAATACATCCAGGTCTGCCATACTTTAAAAACAGAAACAGTCAGTCCCAAGAATCCTTCACTGCTCCATACCCAGACAATTTAATAGAACAGAAACAAAATCTAAGTGACTAAATAATCTTGCAAACTCAGCACTCAAGGTATTAAAACACACAGTGGCGGATTATAAATTACGGGGCCTGTAGGCTAAGAAGAAATTGCAGGCCTCGGAGTCAGATAATCTATTCTCACTGGTACTAAATTTAGTTACCAGTTAGTTTTCATATTATTAAACTGCATGGCACGGCTAAGAAACAACGAATAATTCGTCGCTTCAAGGAGGATTCAAACTCGCATCTTTGGGTTTCTAGAAATAGAAAGCAGCAAATATTCCAGATAAATATATGAAACTCGCGTGAATGCCGTACTGGCTAAATAAATTTCGAAAATTATTGAGATGGTCAGCGGACTTGATAAAACGCAATACTTCATGAGTTCTGAGTATCGCGCAAAGAAATTAAACAATGTGTTGTGCGATAACGGTTAAATAGTCCAAATTCACCGCTCGTAGTTCCTACGGTTTTCAAGAGCATTAATGGCCTGGATTAGGAAAATTGTCATCTCATAAAACAAAAGTAGTAAACACTGAAAACTAATAAGCTCTAGAAATCACGGGCCTCTCGAAAGCCCGGGCCTGTAGGCTTCAGCCTACGTAGCCTATTGGGTAATCCGCCACTGAAAACACACATGATTCTAGTGATCCTTGTCCTTAGGTAGGCTAGTGTCCAACATTGACTCTGGTCAGTCTTAATACAGTGATAATGTCAAATTAATTGGGCTATTTTATCTATTGGTGAATCTTGTAAATAAAATATTTGAATGAACAGGGTAATTGTGCAAGTAAAAACTGAGCAAATTTCCTAAACAATAAGTACTATGGGATTATAAAGTTTGGTTCTTTAATTTGTTTTAAGTTTTTGTAAATGTATAGTTTATACTTTAAAATTTATGTTTTCATATTCTCAAAGAATTGGCAGTTTTCACTTATTAATCAAAGGTGGATTTTAATGGCTGCTAGACTGGCAAGTTAAGAACTGGCAAAAGGCCAAAATAAATAAAAAAGACAATGGGTTACATTACATAAACCTGTTTTTCGATCATACAATCTTGAGTTCACATTTCAGTTAATTCTTCAAGTGAAAATAGATTATTCAGGATCACCTTTTTATTGAATGGCACTCATGCTGATCTTTTTGTACAGATATAGCAAAGTCCAACTGTCAATTATACTCATATCATAAAGAGTGACTATGTAGTACTAACAAAGCATACCCGATCCTAAATAATTCTCCGTTTTCATGAAAATTATATGATACTATACTTCATGTTCAAATTACTTCGGCTTCGCGATTTTGATTTCACCAATGATTTCAAATGTTATCCTGTAAATACCGAAATTTTTGCGGTTTTAGTAATCGTTTGTCATATTTACAGCAGGAGAATTACGTCTCAGTCGTACAGCTTTTAAAATGAAATCAACAAATGGTAATAAAATGTCGTCAAAAATTGAAAATACCTCCAAAGGTTTTTTAAAAAAACATTTTATAAGCAGGGGGGAGTGAATGTTGGAGCGGGCTCAATATTGAGCCGTGTCAGTGGTAATTACCATGACCTCTTCGGACCATATCTGGCGTCAGCACGAAAAATCCGCCATGTTTCTTGCTTCACTTTTTTAACCAAAAACATTAGGAGCCGGTCCTCCAGGAATTATTATATAGCTCAGTGGTCAACCCCCACTTGGGAGTTGGGATCAAGTGGCCGTTGATGCAGTTCACGGGTTGGCAAATAGCATTGAATAAAAAGGATAAATATACATTCATAGAAGTATCAGACAGTCGTAGAACTAGGAGGAAAGCAACGATCAAACCGAAAGCGAACCACAAAGGCTATGCCTTGAATCTTAGCTCCTCAACGGGTAAGTTTGTTTAATATATAGCCATGTCAGTAGCTTTATGGAAACATGCATATATCTACCATATATTTCTACATATATACTAGCATGCATATGCGACCATAAATCTATAGAGTATACAAGCAAAATAATTATATTGTGTTATGTAATATACAAAGTTTAAGTGAAAGTGAAGTCCGCCCTGCGCATAACGATTTGAGGCCCAAATTTTCGCTTTTTTTTAATTAAAAACAGTCTAGTTGAGATTAATTTAGGCATAGCGAACCAAAATGTCGCAAGATATTCATAAGAATTTTATATACAGATCTATGATATGCCATACATGATCTAAAATTTCATACATCAATATGTTAAAATAATTATAGTAATCTATTAATTAATAAGCTTTCCTGATGATCAGTACAGTGACAATATATATATAACCAAATTGATATTTGGGCATAGAATCTGCATTTTCTAGACACTTTGATTCATTTTGCAATTAATTACTGTAGTTTACTTTAATTTAAATGTTGTTTCATCACTTTCATGTCTTTTGATTCTTTCAAGATAACAAAAGTATACCACCTTTATTAAGTTCCAAGGGCTGGGTATATCATAGGTAAAACTTTCTCACATTCAACTCCAACATTAATGGCAGTACCAAGTAGCATTATGTTAATTGCACATGATTTTATCATCTACAAATATTGAGGAAAGATATTATTGATAAAATACTGGTGGATTCATAGAAAAATGTATGATTATACCCTCTCATGCTCTATTGACACTATTTGTGTCTCAATGCTCAACACTCAGCACTCAGGTTAGCAGCTGTGATTGCCAATGTTGGTGTCTGTCATTTGTAAACACTATGGAATAACTATAAAATACCCCGCCACATGTAAGTGTTGTTTTCCTGTGGCTACCTGGCAACATACATGCGAACATCTCTTCCTTATTCCTATACCAACACGACTACATGGCTACATGGCTACGTGCCTAATGGCTACTTGCCTAATGGCTACTTGCCTACATGCATGGCTATATGGCTACATGGCTACTTGACCACTTGGTAACCCTAACCCTAACCTCCAACCCTTACGTAATTAAAATTCCAATACTTACTAATTGTGCACCCAACCATTAAAACACCAAAATATTAAAATACACACTTCTCAAAATAGAACCTTAATTCCAATAATTTGCTAACTTCTATTATTCAACGTCCTATAAAACAACCAGTTGAATTACTTTAACTTAAGCTGGTACTCCACAACCTGGAACTTTTTTTCAAAAATGGCTTTTCTGACAGTTTTTTTGCCCCGGAATATTGTTCACACTATTTGATGATAAATGGCACATTTAAATCTGGTAGTTGCCATAGCAATCAAGATAACTAGAAAGTAGAAATATATGCATGCAGCAAACCCCTCGCCATTTTAAACGAAGCAAAATATAATAATAATAATCTTTTATTAGGATACTTTTTCATTTTACAATGTTTTTCAAAAAGGTCCTAAGAGATTAAATAATCTATATATAACTAAATACAAATAATACAAAATCTAAAATACATAATGGTAAAAAATTATTTTAGGAAGTTACTAAATATTCTACGCTTAAAAATTTAAAGGCTGGCGGCATTTCTAGTTTCTCTATCTAGGGAATTCCAGTCATAGATGGTTTGGTAGCATACTCTTTGTTTCCCCAATTTCTACTAACACGTGGAAGTCTAAAAAGGTCACTGTTTCTAGTATTATAATGGTGCACGTCTCCATTAGTTAACAGATTTAAATTATGATCTGTTAATTCGTTTTTACATTTATAAACGAACGCGCATCGATGATAAAATCTGCGCTCTTTCAAATTCGGCGTTCTTTCAAATTCGGCCACTTCAGTTTTACAAGAGCTTCAGTAGCAGAAGAGTGTAATGGTTTATCTAAAATAAGCTTTGCTGCTTTGTTTTGTAAGATTTGAAGATCATTCATTATAACTATATTATTCTTATCTCCCCATATGATGTCAGCGTAATCAAAAAGTGGGAGCACTAAACTGTTATAAAATAACAAACGCGCCTGGTAAGGCAAAAAATGTTTAATTCCCTGTAAGAGGCCAAGTCGCTTATTTGCTTTTGATATTACATGTTCAACATGACTAGTCCATGAAAAATCCGAAGATAACGTGATCCCAAGATAGTTAAAATTTTTTACCGAGTTCAGGTTACTGTCATGTATAGATAGGGTCAATGAAGAAATATTCGTTAATTTTCTATTACTTCCAATTAACATGGATTTCGACTTCTCTGGGTTTAATGTAAGTCTATTCTCTCTAAGCCAAACGGCTACATTGCAGAGATCCTCATTTAGACAATTTTCCAGTTCGTGTGGATCATCTGAAAAACAGTACATTACTGTATCATCAGCGTACAGTGAGATTTCTGAGTGTTTAACCACATCGGATAATCTATTGATGTACACCAAAAACAGTAATGGGCCTAAAATACTGCCCTGTGGGACTCCAAAAGTAACAGGACGAGTATCAGACAGTTCACCCTCACATGAAGTTCGTTGTTTTCGATTGGTAAGATACGATTTGAACCAGCCAAGAGCTTTTATGGAAACGCCCATAGAGGACAGTTTTGATATTAAAATTCCATGATCGACGGTGTCGAATGCCTTGGTCAGATCCAGAAATACGGCACCACAAATGTTCCTTTTTTCCATATTCATTAGCACTTCATCTGCAAATGCAGACAAAGCTGTAGTTGTTGACTTTTTAGAGCGAAATCCAAATTGCTAGTTGGAGAGCAAATTGTTCGAAATCAGATACTCATATAATTGAGCATGGACTACTTTCTCCATGATCTTGCTAAGGGTGGGTAATATTGAGATAGGTCGATAATTACTTGCATTTGTTCGGTCACCCTTCTTGAACAAAGCAGTAACCTTAGAGCATTTGCAAATCTCTGGAAATTCACCGGAACGAATCGACAAATTAATGAGTTTCGTGATAGAGGAACTGATTATTGGTGCACCACATTTCAATAACCTTGCACTGATCTTATCTAGACCAATAGCTTTATTGGTCTTTAGGTTCGTTAAATGTTGAAGAATAATTGATTCATTAATTTCTTTTAATTCGAATATTTCCAAGTGTTTATTTAAGGATAAATAAGCGGGAACGGGTGTTATTTTATCAGCAAGAATCTTCCCTATTGAAGCAAAATAATAGTTCAATGCAGATGCAATCGATAAGGGAGTCACATAACTGATCCCATCAGCAATAATACACTGTGGACCCGATGTTTTAGCCTTACGAGAGGAAACTTCATTTACAGCTTGCCATACTTTTGAAGCATCACCTTTAGCTTCTTTGATCATATTACAATAGTATTCTGATTTTGCTTGCGCAGATTTGCGATTTGTTAGATTTCTAAGTCTTTCATATTCAGCCCAATGATGAGGCGAATTTGATTTCATAGCCTTGCGGTGATATTAATCACGATCTCTCATTAATTCATTTATCTTTGTATTCATCCATGGTAATGGCACACCCCGTACTCTGCGTCTTTTCATCGGCGCATGCAAATTTGCAATGTCGTCACAGAATAATTTATTCCAGGTATATAATGCATCATCGATGTTTGCCTCATTTTCTAAAATATGCCATGGAACGCGGTTGAGATCGTTTTTAAAAGCATCAGTGTCAAAATTCTTATATGAGCGATATTCAATAGTTCTAGGCGGTGCTTTCTTGACACCTGCTTTTATGATACAATAGACAAGAAAGTGATCACTCAACGAAACAGGGACAACACCGGAATCGGCGATGCGATGCTCATTGTTTACCAAAATAACATCAATCAAAGTGCGTGAAGTATCCGTTACACGAGTAGGTTCTGTAATTAGCTGTGAGAGATCGAAAGTGCGTGTTAAATTCAAAAGCATTTGTTTTTCTTTCCTATTCTTAGCATTCGCATTTTGAAGCATGTTTACATTCAAATCTCCAAGTAACACAAAATCACATTTAACTTGATCAAAACAACTTGAGTCATGGCACGCTGGAAATTTTCAACAAATTGGTTCAAATCTGCTGCAGGTTTTCTGTAAGCACAGCAAATTATGACTGGGCGGCATTTGGGGCGAATTAGTTCAATCCATTAACACTCATTTTTTTCCATTACTAACATCATCCCTTACACGGAAAGGCAAACTTTCACAACATAGGCAAGGACGCCACCGTATCCTTGTTTAATACCAACTCTGTCCAATCTTACACACGTAAATCCTGGAAGAGCAAATTCACTATAATGCTCTGTATCATCTAGCCATGTCTCGGAGAGTGTAAGAACATCAATCCCGTTGTCCAATTCTTCCAGGCGTAACGAATCAATCTTATGTCGAAGGCTTCGAATGTTCAAATGTGCTATTTTCAGTCCTCGAACTTTCTTTATATCTGATATATTTCGATATCCAGGGTTTAGTTTCACGTCTCCAGCCAAGATTACGAGAGCCAGGGCCAAAGTGGCATGTTGAAACAGCTTACACGCGACATACATAACCCTTCCGATGTCATCAACCGTTGGGAGATGAAATAAATATCCCCAGTTTTAAATTGAGTGCTACCAGGAATAAATTCCATTTGAGATTTATCGAAAATCACTAAGAAACTGAGAATAAATAATATATCTAGAGACAGCGACCAAACACGTCTTGCCGCCATCTTGGTGAAGACTAGCGAAAATTATCCGAAAAATATTTCGTGCGCTACCCAGACGTAACTTTCTACGCTAATATTATGAAATAACTCGTGCAAATTTTTCGGAAACAAAGACAGTCGTAAAGCCAGGTGAACAGAAATCTCCTGTTTGCCTGCTGCATTACGTTGCAGTTTAAGTGAGTGTTAAACTTTTCTATAGCTAAACCTTCAAAACATAAACAGAATAAATTAAGCATAATGTTGTTCTACAAGGCAAGTCCTTGAAAGGCCAGAAAGGATTGACAAATCAATGAGTCTATAACCCGTTGGTTCTCCTTTAGTTCCCTCAGTATTCATGGGCTTTGCTGTCTTGATTATTCATGCCGAGGCAGGTTGTGGCGAACTTTCAGGTTCAGATATGATCTTGTTTTCCACATAATCACTCGAACAAATATCGAACACGAAGATGGCCCCGAACGTGCTGGCGTAGTTGGGACACTTTCTTCGCGTAATATAGCATTACTCAAAAGTAAGCAAAGAAAACCACTAAAACGGAGAAGATAGTAAGAGAACAATGTCCGTGGAACACAAAAAAACCAAATTTGAAAATTTCATGAAATATTTGTGGAGTACCACCTTAAACACAGTGTTACTCATTAAAAAGCCTCCTAAACAAGCACCCTCAAACTTTAAATACCGTACAACCCTAAATGTAACCAAAAAATGTACACGTAGCCACGTAGCCACGTAGCCAGTTTACATAGTACTCTCGCATGCGGGGTATTCTATAGTTGTACCAATACTATTTGCAGTCTACATATAGGTATTGCCGTATAAAATTGTGTCAGTTCCCCCTGCCATGTACAATAAATGGGCTAATCCTTTCTGTCGCTCTAGTATATGTTCAGGCTCATTGGCAAAGTCATGACCATTGGGTTTTATAAAAGGGGCTGGTATATCAGCCATCTGTAGTTGTTATATGACAAATTAGTACACACCCAATATGACTAGTTATTAAAAGCAACATAATTGTACTGGAACATCATAGTCTAGCTATAAAACTATGTCTTCATTCAGAACTTTTGCCTGCATTTTTGTCCCTTTCGTTTAAATGCTGTTTAAACGTAAAGTTACAATAAATTCATTAATTACCCGGTTTCAATTACCAAATATTTATGAAGAAGAAATAGTTCTCATTAATGGGCGTGTCCTAGACAAGTATTTAGCTAGCAGACATTGAAAAGAGAACTTTATTAGAACTATTTCTTTTTCATAATTATTTGGTAAGTGAATGTGGCGAGCTAACAAATAACGACTAACGTGATATTAAGTGACGTGTATAAACAGGGTAAATGTGTATCCAGGTAATTGCACCTACAGTATGAAGACCCGGGTTAACGGCCCGATAGCTTTGTAGTATTAAATACTTACCTGGTGTACCTACAAGCTAAATTACTTATCGACTGTCACCATGCAAACACAAGAGGATTCTGAGTTTGTTCTTCATCGGTCATCACAAATCGAATCCGAACGTGGAGGAGCTGGGCACAAATCCTACTGATGACCGTGAACATTCATTTAGAAATCAAGATTAGCAGCTTGATCAATCTTGGAAAAAAGCAAAATTATTTTAAAACAAATAATAAACAAAGATCGAGATTTTGACCACAATGTATATAGCTCGAGCCTCAAGTGAAAAGTCAAAGAGAAATCTATTTTAACAAATTTTATTGCAGTTTCACTTTTCACTACTGTGATTGCAGCAACATTCAGATAAGTGACTCAGGCATAGAAGTGTAAATAGATAAATGCATAGATAAATAAATGGATCACGCCACAATCACGCTACATGTTCTGACATGTCTATTTTATAAAATATCAGATGCTTTTTCAAGTTTAAACATTTTTTGCATAGCCACAGTTGCTTGTTTAATATGTTACTTCTGCCTGTTTAATAAAAAATTCAAAAAATCCTAACATAAATCCTGAAAGAATTTGTCGTTATTTATGCACATTAAGTGTTTCTCTCCCAGTAATCAGCGTGCTGGATTTGCGAAATGCGACTAAATAACGAACATAAATATATATGGCAACCTATATGAGTGAGTACATTCGAATGTAGTATATATATAATGAGCTGTTATGTAATTGGATATCTCAACCTGAGTACTGAGATGCGAATTTTACGAGAGTCTTAATAATGTTAAAAATGTGTAGTCTTATTGGCGAACTTAAAGTTTAAAAGCTTAGTAATTACGTTATTTAGTGGTTTAATATTTGCGTGTTTAAGACTAATACTGTAATACGTGTCTAAGTACCATGTCTACAAAGTAAAAGGATTGCTCCTTAGCGCAAAGATCGCTAAAATAGTCTCGGACCTGTAAAGGAGTTTGTATGCATTTCATTTAGGACAGATTATCTCAACTGTTTTAAGGTAAAATGACCATAGCGGTCAACATGGCATATGTGCCAAAAGCTGAACCAGGGACGAAAGTCCTGAAAATGACCACACCCAGTAACGGCGTAGTCGACATAGCAGTAAATAATGAATTATCAAACCTACAGTCTTTCTGGATTGCTTGTATGGTTCAGAATAGTTGCTTTTGGGGGTGGTCACTAAAGAGTGAACTTAGCATAAGTTTCATATTTTACAAGAAAATGAATGTTTACCATTCCAAGTCTACTGCTAATTATGCATAAAATTACAGATTCACCTGGCAAAGTCTAATTTTTCCCATTTTCTAAAACAAGTACAATCGTACTATACAGGGTGTCCCAAAAAAAACGAAAACTATTGAAATCACTCATTGTTAAAATTTGAATGCCGTGCTAACGAATTTCAGTCCGTGGGGATTTAATGCAACTTATAAAATGCTAAATGCTTTGTGTTGCTAGAGAAAGGGGACATGTCGAAGGTCATGGTCCTTGAGATGCACATCTAAATAATGTTATCCATATTTGTAAATGGTAAATATTGTTAATAAATATCATTTTTGCGAACAAGCAAATTTTACTGCATCATATGCCTGCATGCGTAAAAATGAGTATGGTAAACATTTATACACCTGTGGGTCCCAATAGAGTGCTTAGGCATTCAAATTCTAACAATTGCATGGTTATGGGTGATTTCAATAGTTTTCGTTTTTTTTGGGACACCCTGTAGTGGACCAGGAACTGCGTAACCGAGTTTAATTTCTGAACTGCATTGTATTTATAACAATAGAGAGGACAATGTATTTCTAATCGTTTCCGTTTACTTATACAGGGTGTATCAAAAAAAAGGAGACCTTTAGAAATCAAGCTATTGTTAAAATTTGAATGCCTTTTCAATTGCATTTGCACATATGCTGAACCGTTGTGCGTTAAATATTGATGGCATGCATGCATACATTAGAAAATGAATTGACGTTTGCATGTACACAAGATTGTCTGCTCCTGGGAATTTGAAAATAACTTTAATAGCATAAGGAAAAATAACGACCCAAAAATATTCAAATGACTAAGCACACTACCAGAACAAAAATGGTTCAACTGACTTCGGAGCAAAGAGTTTTTGTAGTCTTAACTTATACCCAGCCTGTCGTCATCAGAAAAGCAGTTCGCGATATGCACAAGCGTACGGTAGTTTGTGTTGAGAGAAATGGAGGCCACGTTGGAGGTCATGGTCCATGACATTCAGTTCTTTTGATGTTCAATTTATCAGTAATTTTCAATCCGGATCGAAATGTCAAGTGAATCTGTGTCAGATCAAGTTGTAATTCATTCCTGACTCATGTAAACATTTTAATAGGCAGAGTTTGTAAAATGGGATGCTGAGCCATTCCGGATTCAAAGTCAATTCTAACTCATGTGAACAGCCCTAATGCTCGCACGCAGTGTTAAAAATTATTGAACAAATGATTTGTTCATGTTTTGAAGGAACAGCTAAAGCAATTTACCACGCATACTGTTATCGCTTTTGTGCTTAGTCGTTTGTGCTTAGTCATTTGAATATTTTTGGGTCGTTATTTTTCCTTATGCTACTAAAGTTATTTTCAAATTCCCAGGAGCAGACAATCTTGTGTACAAACGTCAATTCATTTTCTAAAGGTCTCCTTTTTCTAATGTATGCATGCATGCCATCAATGTTTCACGCACTACGGTTCAGCATATGTGCAAATGCAATTGAAAAAGCATTCAAATTTTAACAATAGCTTGATTTCTAAAGGTCTCCTTTTTTTTGATACACCCTGTATATAGGCTGAATATTAATGATATGTATATATTATTTGCTGCACATATAGTCAAGAATTGCTTGTAACTTGCTTCAAAGGTCAAAAGTAAAAATTCGAACTCCGTCAATCGATGCGGAATATTGCTTAGAATAATTGTGCCAAGTTTCAATCCAATCAAACAAGTAATGCTAGAGCCTTAGGGGTTTTTTTAATAGCGTCGCCGCCTAGCAACAACAACAACAAGAGGAAGATCAGCAGCGGTTAGGGACCAGTTTCTGGTCCTAAAATTTGCCATATGATGAAAAAACATGCTTATTTTACTATGTTCATTCTAAATTTCCTAGGAAATAACAATGTTTTGATAATAACAAATGTTTGGAAATAACAAATATTTCTCATAACAAAATGACAAGTCTCCGGGTTTAATTATAAATTCATGTTCTTGCTTTCGCAAAGCTAAAAAATAAACATGAAATATAATCGTGGAAATTTATCACCCCCCCTGCAATGTTGCACACGAGCACTTGTCGTGGAGTGTGCGCTAGACTTTTGAATTATTATGAATATTTCGCACTTAAATTCCACTCCCGATAAACGAGGGGTGATTTTTTACTTCCAAATGTGACAAATGCTTTTAAATTTTGGATAGCTGCTATTGTACTATCAATTATTTATCGATGCTGTGAAAAAAATACAGCTGGGGATCAAAAACTGGCATTTATCGTGCAGAAAGGCGACCAAACATGGCAATGGCGACATAATTGATGAAATGTCAAGGGACACAAAAATGAAAAAAATATTACATGGCACTACTTCAAGACCCAGAAAATTGATTGAATAATTCTTTAGTCCACTAGAATCGTGTTAAAGTACAATATTTGGATGGTGCTTGCGATGCACGGCAAAAAACGGCGATTAAATTTGCAAAATATGGCTGAGATCGTGTTCTGGCTGGGGGTAAGTGAAATGAAATCGCAACAAAAAATTGTTATTTCCTAGGAAATTTAGAATGATTATGGTAAAATAAGCATGTTTTTTCATCATATGGCAAAAATTTTTGGAAAATCGGAAAAATTAGGCTTTGCCAGGTGAATCTGTAATTTTATGTATCATTAGCAGTTGACCTGGAATGGTAAACATTCATTTTCTTGTAAAATATGAAACTTATGCTAATTTCACTTTTTAGTGACCACCCCTAAAAGCAAACATTCTGAACCATATAAACAATTCAGAAAGACTGTAGCTTTGATAATTCTGGATTTAGAGCTATGTCGACTATGCAGTTTCTGGGTGTTGTCATTTTCAGGACTTTCGTCCCGGATTCAGCTTTTGGCACACATGCCATATTAACCGCGATGGCCAATTTACCCTAAAGCAGTTGAGATAATCTGTCCTAAATGAAATGCATACAAACTCCTTTACAGGTCCTAGACTAAAAAGGGCGGCTTGTTTAAAAGAATGCGGATTGCACAGTGTTATGATAAGGCTGGTCAGATGAGGGACGTAAATATCTGGACGTGCCTCCAATAATGCGCCTTTGTTAAAATGCAGGGCCACTACTTGCAGAATAAGTTTTGGAGTGTGTTGCTTAGAAAATCGCCTGCATCCAGTTGCCCCTTTGGAGGATTGGCACCAGACATTTCTCCAAATTCATATCCGTGAATCTGACGAGATGCCGTTCATATCGATGTCCTTCAACGATTCTCAGTTTGTTCCTCATTCACAAATCTTCTGAAAACTTCCGTGATATCGATAAACTTTAAAACGGGACATTCTCATGTTTGCATGTTAGACAGCACAGTACCTGTCCATTGGTTGAACGACTATAGCGAATACTGACAATTCATTGCAAACCGTGTTAGCAAAATTAAAAGCCATGCGAATGTATTACAAAGCCATCAGTGCATAAGTTCCTACATCTGACAACCCTGCAGACTTGGGTAGTCGTGGCGTCAGTTTCACGTCAGCAGCGTTGTGGTGGAAATATCTAGTCTAGTTGGCTGATCCAGATGAATGGCCACCTCAGATCGTGAAAAGTACAAAAGCAACAATTGATGCAGAGAAGAAGGGGAATAATGGCCTCGACGAATCATCGAAGAGTTCGGCTTGATTAAAACCAGGCAGTTGGTGATTAGGCGTTGAGATTCAAGCACAATCCTTTCGATAAGATCCAGAGACCCTTAACAATACAAGAGTTCTAGATCAAGAGTTATTTTGTGTCCGAAAAGCCCAAGAGCGGAAAGTTCGTGAAAGCGAAAGTTCGTGAAGAATTTTGGATTCCTCGGCAATGTTTGCCTTCGTAAGCTGGCAAAGTGAGTCCTAAAGAAACGTTATAGATGTAAGAGATTTCCTGTTGTACCCATTCCAAGCCCGCCTGCTGAATTTTTGCCCACGAATAGACCGAAGATGATAAATATACCTTTCACAGTAATCGGCGTAGATTTTCCTGGAGCGATGAAATAATTATCTTAAATTAAACTTCAGCCGTTGACAAGTGCGGCACATAATTACTATTGTTCGGTCAGTGTTGATTGCGTGCCAATCTCATTTGGTGAACACATTTTCATTTTCTAATATCTGATATAGCTGTTTTAAGGCCTGTACTATGCTTTTCTTTTCAAATAAACGTGCCGATATAGCGACAATTGCTATTTGGGAATTACTTATCTTATAGATTAGGAGAATGCGCGAAAACCATTCGCTATTGCACAAAAGGCTTATATATAAGTGGCTGTGGATGCTTTTGAATAATAATATAAGTTACTGCATTAGTATACATTCATTTCTGACAGAGAGCCACTTTATACATTGTTAATTTGTCCTCGTTTTCCATGACTTTGGCTATTCCCAAATTTAGCTTGTGGACTGGTGTTGAGGGACTAATCACTCGTTAAGTCCTATTTTCGGGACGTAAACAAACGCTCTCTGTTAGAAATTAATGTGTACTAATGCAGTAACTTATATCATTATTTATTCAAAATAATTAAGGGAATGTTTTTTGGACGTAAACAGAGTTTGTCCCAAAAACAGCCCTATGGTGCTTTTTCAATATCACTATTACCAGTCCGATTATCACTGTTACAAGTGTCGATCAATATAACACCTCAAAATTCGATTGTTTCAACAAAGGAAATACTCTTCTATGCGCGGTATATACATTAATTAACTTCTTCTAATAAGTTTTCACATAATTTTGTTTAAGGTCTGAAGTAAAGATAACACTAGAAAAGGTAAGAGAATGGATTCGAAATCTTCAAAATCTGTCACGGCAAACAATGATCCGTTAGAAACAGCAAACATCAATCTCAACTTAGGTGATACCCATTTTAGATTAGCAGAATATAAAAAGGCTATTACCTATTACATTAAATATAGGGAAATTTGCACTGAAATTGGCAATTTTCAAGGATTAGCAAGTGCCTGTGAGAAACTGGGTGCTGCCTTTTCACACCTAGGACAGCATGAAGAGGCTATCGAGTATTTTGCAACAAGTTTAGAAATTTTCATTCAATTTGACAACCACTCAGGAGTGGCAAATAACAATGGCAATTTAGGCACTGCCTATTATAGTTTAGGAGAGCATGAAAAAGCCATTGACTATCTGAAAAAAAGTTTGGAAATCAGTGCTGCTATTGGCGACAAGTCAGGAATGGCAAATATTAATGCGAATTTGGGCAATGTTTACCTTAGTTTAGGAGAACATGAGAAAGCTATAGACTATTTCAAAAATGGTTTAGAAATGAATATTGCCATTGGCGATAAGTCAGGAATTGCTGATAACAATGGCTATTTGGGCAATGTTTATCTTAGATTAGGAGAATACGTAAAATCCGTTGGCTATTTAAAAGAAGGTTTAGAATTGAGTACTGCTATTGGTGATAAGCCAGGTATAGCAAATAAAAATTGCAATTTGGGTAATGCCTACCTTCGCTTAGGAGAATATGAGAAGGCTATAGGCTATTTTAACAAAGGTTTAGAAATTAGTACCGCTTATGGTGATAAATCAGGTATAGCAACTATAAATGGCAATGTGGGCAATGTTTACCTTATGTTAGGAGAATATGAGAAAGCCATTGACTATTTTAAGAAGAGTTTAGAAATGCGAACTGCTATTGGCCATAAATCAGGAATAGAAATTATCCATGGCAATTTAGGCAATGCTTACCTTAGATTAGGAGAATATGAGAAAGCCATTAGCTATTACAGAAAAGGTTTAGAAATGAGTACTGCTAATAGCAATAAGTCAGGAATGGCAGCTAACAATGGCAATTTAGGTAATGCCTACCTCTATTTAGGAAAATACGAGGAAGCCATTGAATGTTATTTAAAAGGTTTAGAAATGAGTACTGCTATAGGCGATAAGTCAGGAATAGCGATTAAATATGGCAATTTGGGCAATGCCTACCGTACTTTAGGCGAATATGAGAAGTCCATGAACTATTTCAAAATAGCTTTGGAGATGAGTAAAGCTATTGGTGATAAGTCAGGAATTGCAACTAACAATAGCAATTTGGGCATGGTCTACCATAATTTAGGACAATATGAGAAAGCTATGGACTATTTCAAAAAAGGTTTAGAGATGAGTACTGTTATTGGCGATAAATTGGGAATCGCAAGTAACAATAGCAATTTTGGTGATGCCTACCATAGTTTAGGAGAATATAAAAAAGCCATTGAATATTTCAAAAAAGGTTTAGAAATGAGTATCGCTATTGGCGATAAGTCAGGAACAGCAACTAACAATGCCAAATTAGGCATGACCTACCTTAGTTTGGGGGAATATGCTGAGGCCATTGACTATTGCAAAAGAGGTTTAGAAACGAGTACTGCTATTGGTGAAAACTTAGAAATAGCAAGAAGCAGTGAAGGGTTAGGTAATGCCTACCTCATTTTAGGAGAGTATGAGAAAGCTATTGACTATTTCAAAACGGGTTTAGCAATTAGTACTGCTATTGGTAATAAGTCAGGAATAGCAAGCAACAATTGCTGTTTAGGAAATGCATATCTTAAATTAGGAGAATGCGCGAAAGCCATTCGTTATTGCACAAAAGGTTTAGAAATAAGTGCAGCTATTGGCGATAAGTCAGGAATAGTAAACAACAATACCAATTTGGGTAATGCCTACCGTGAATTAGGAGAATACGAGAAAGCTATTGACTATTTCAAAAAAAGTTTAGAAATGAGTACTGATATTGGCGAGAAGTCAGCAGTTGCCACAAACAATGGCAATTTAGGCAATGCCTACCTTAGCCTTGGAGATTATGAAAAAGCCATAGACTCTTTCAAAACTAGTTTAGAAATGAGTACTGTGATTTGCGATAAGTTGGGAATAGCACATAATAATGGCGGTTTAGGCATCGCTTATCTTAAATTAGGAGATTATGAGAAATCCATTCACTTTTGCAGAAAAGGATTAGAAATGAGTACTTCTATTGGTCATAAGTCAGGAATAGCAAGAAACACTGGCAATTTGGCGAATGCCTACCTTCGTTTAGGAGACTATGTGAAAGCCATTGACTATTGCGAAAAAGGCTTGGAATTGAGTCGTGCTATTGGCAATAAGACAGGAATAGCAACTTGGAATGGCAATTTGGGCAATACTTACCTTAGTCTCGGAGAGTATGAGAAAGCTATTGACTATTACAAAAAGGGTTTAGAAATGAGTACGGCTATAGGGTATAAGTCGGGAATAGCAACAAACAATATCAATTTGGGCATTGCCTTCCTGAGTTTAGGAGAATACGTGAAAGCTATTGATTACTTGGAAAAAGGTTTAGAAATGAGTACTGATATTGGCGATAAATCAGGAATCGCAAGTGCGCATGGCAGTTTGGGCAGTGCTTATAGATGCTTGGGGGAATATGAAAAAGCTATCGATTATCAAAAAAAGTGTTTGGAAATTAGTACTGCTACTGGCGATCAAACAAAAATAGCAATGGTCAATGGCAATTTAAGCAATGCTTATAGATGCTTAGGACAATATGAAAAATCCATTGACTATTCCAAAAAAAGTTTAGAAATGAGTACTGCCATTGGCAATAAGTCTGGAATAGCACATAGCAATTGCGATTTGGGCAATGCTTACCTTAGCTTTGGAGAATATGAGAAAGCTATTGACTATTACAGAAAGGCATTAGATATTAGTACTGCTATTAGCGATAAATCTGGAATAGCCACTCAGAATTGCAATCTGGGAAATGCCTACCTTCGTTTAGGAGAATATGAGAAAGCCATTGACTATTACAAGAAAGGTTTAGAAATAAGCATCGCCATTAATGATCCGTCACTCTTAGCAATTAATAAAAGCAATTTGGGAGCTGTACATCGATGTTTAGGGCAGAATGAAAGTGCAATATCATGTTTAGTGGAATCTATCAGCATCTTTGACAAAATATTTTTAAACTCAGTACCAGACCAAAATAAGTTGTCATTCACTAAACAATACTTTACCGACCATGTAATGATGATGAGTTGGTTTATTTCTCTTGGGCGCATTGAATCTGCATTATTAGTCATTGACCTCGGAAGGGCTAAAGAACTTCATTGCTCCATTGAAAGAAAAAAGAAATCTTTGAATACAAAAATGTTCGATTATGCAAATGCGGGTTGGAAGAGAATCAAGAATAGTGAAGAACAGGTAGAAATAGAAGAATTACAGAGCATCCTCCAGGTAAGCAGCAACGATACTTCCGTTATAGTATTTGCTTTCGATTTGCAAGGTTTTCTCAATGTTTGGGTGTTGAATGAAGAAGTAATCTTTAGAGTATCAAAATCAGAAGCACGATTGGAGACATTTGTGCAACTGATAAGTGAATTGTTCAGAATGGTGAATGTGAATGTTAATCGGGATTCTTCGTTTTTCGAACTCGATTCAGTGGCCAGTATTGATGAAAAATCGATTCTTCCTTTGGACGTTTTTAAAGAGAAATCTCCGTCTAAAAATAATTTTGAGAAACCTTCTGTTGGTGATGATGATTTAAACCAAGACGGTATTTTGAAAACATTGTTTAAACTGCTGATTGACCCTGTAAGCGATGTGATTAAAGGCAATAAGCTTATAGTTGTTCCGGACAAGCAATTGTTTTTTGCCCCATTTTCGTCATTGATTGATGAAAATGGTTGTCATTTATCCCACAGTTACAGCATTCAAGTTACGCCATCATTACACACTCTAAGATTTAGCATCGAACGCTCTCAAGATCTGGGCCTTGGTTTTGCGTTGTTTGTTGGTAATCCAACTGTTGGAACAGTTTCCTTAAATGGAAAAGAATTTTCACCCCCTGCCTTACCAAATGCTGCTAGAGAAGTTGAATGTCTTTCAAAGCTCTTCAATGCTAGACCCTTAGTGGGGCGTGAAGCTAGAAAACAGGTTGTACTGGATCTTTTATCTGGGGCTAGCATAATCCATATCGCTGCTCACGGTGAACAACTTCGAGGTGAAATAATGCTTTCCCCTAACGTTTCCTCGACTCGGCCATTTTCGACTCTTCCTTATCCAGACGACTACCTCCTCTCGCAGAAGGATATTGTAAATACTTCTTTGCTAGCTAGCTTGGTAGTTTTATGCTGTTGCCATACTGGGCAAGGTGAGATTTCTTCCGAAGGTGTCGTAGGTATTGCTCGGGCATTTATTGCAGCTGGCGCTCGCACTGTTCTCGCCACACTATGGCCCATTAGTGATGATGCCACGAAAGAGTTTATGGAAGTATTTTATGGTGAGTTGTGCCAAGGAACATCGGTTTGTGAAGCACTAAGAAAAACAAAGAATCTCTTCCAAAAACACCAAATCCAAGCTTACCGGTCTTACACAATCTGGGCCCCATTTACCATCTACGGGGAGGATGTGGTTTTTCAGAAACATGACATCGAAAATATAAGAGATAAATCACGTGACATGTTCTCTTGTTTTGTTGTATTACCCTGAAGTTTGTAAGTATAATAACTATATAGCTTTGTTTAGTCAGTATCGGACTTGAAATATTCTGTTTTTTAAATCCATATAAGTAGACATTTCCTCTCTTCAAAGTGTGATAGTGCGTTGTAATAAAGAAATACGATTGGTATGCAATGTTGCAGTTATCGCCAAACCGTAAGTATATATCAGTTTCAATTCAAAATGTGATTTCGTTAAGCCTTGTCCGCACTTTAGTTAATTGCAAGAATTCCCTATCCCCATTATTTGCATACTTATTCGCTGGTCCCAAGAAGGGGAATAGCATTTTCTTGCAACTTGCATGAACCAGGCTTTCGTCCCTTCGTTATTGGCGTTGCGTAAGTTCTTGAATTTCGGTCCTTAGGTATCGGGCTAGTCAGGATTAGAACATTAACCTGCTTACTTCTCTTTAATTCCCAATATGGAAGTTAAATTTTATTTAGGATGTCATTTCAATGTCAAAACAATACGCTATAGCAAGCAGATATTCTATTTTTTTTTCTCCACTCGTCATCGGTTTACAATAGTTATATTTTTGAAGATAAGGGAGGTGGCTGCCTGTATGAAATTTTCACTGGTGGAAGCAGCACTTTATTTGACTTTGCAGATTAAACTTTTTGTGCAAGCATTTGAACTTACAACCTAATTCCCAGAAATAAATTTACACTTTTTTCAGGCATGCGCTGACAGAGTAAAAAAATTCACTTGGAGAAAAACAATTGCAAGCTAACACCGTCCTGTTCAACGTTTCCGAGATATATTTTGGTACATGTATGTGCATGTAGAAAATAAAGTGCATGTAGCAAATTATATCTGCAAAAGTTGACCTTCAATATTATAAGTTTGCGAAATTCCAGATTTTTTTCCTACGATAACACAAAATATTTAATTTATGTGCGACAGCTTCCAATGTTAAGAAATTTTAAGCAAACGTAATTTAGTGAAAAACCTAAAATTCATTATCAATTGATTTAAACTGAACAAATCCTCCATAGTAGAACCAATATACCAATAGCTCTATTTGCGCAGGTCATTAATGAAGTATATGCTTACAACTTCAAACTCTGCGATGTTGTAACTTGATACTTATTTATAGATAAGAAATAACATAAACTTTAGCCAACATTCTAAAACCTAGTGGACCGACATCACGCGTACTGTATTGATATGTTTCCGCAATGAAGAAGGAAGTAAAAATATGTAAGGATCATCGAAGCGTTGTGATATGAATTTGAACTTGCATCACCGAAAACATCGTTAAAATCATACGAAATAATTCAATATTTTGCCTTCTGTTGGAAAAAAGGATAACATGAATCAAACCGATGTACCTTCTACGTCTTAGTAGAACACTCGTGACATTTGTTATAACAATTGTTGAAAGTCATCAAGCGTCTTCACAGTTATTTCATAGGCGTAAAAAAAATCGGGCAAATTGAAACAATAATTGCTTGACATACGAAAATTAGAAATCCGCAAGACTGCAAGAACAATTACTTTACATTTAAAAAATGAACACACCTTCAACACATCATATGGTATACAATGATCAGTTGACTCACTGAACTAAAAAAGGGAAAGCAATGAAATCGAAAAATGTTACCAGTGTTAAAGTATTGGACAGGTGAAGTGTTGGGTATTGTGAGAGTTCTTCATTCGACTAGACGATATATGCCCATGCGCGTGTATTTGTTGGAGAAATAATTATACTAGAGTTGCACGAAAGCTCCTTCATTTGTCGCTTCGTTTTTATAATCAAACGAAGCAAGTGGTTATTGATCTTGTGCTTTAAATAAATCATCTTTACTGGTGCCTCGAAATTTTGTACAAATCGTAATAATAACTGGACCACGGAACGTGGATTTGAAAAGCTTTTATTTCATCTATATACTGCGTGGATCGTGTTCAAACATTTTCATTACAGGACGGATATAGCGACCATGTGCATACGGATATCCCGTTCAGTAGCGTTGTACGAGGAGAGACATCCCATAAGCAAGGAAGTGCGGAAAGAATTGTGCCAGTCCACAAAATGGTTGAAGAATGTTGGTCGTAATGTTTACAGAAATTCAGTTAAACTTAAATTTTCTTTTTTCAAAGAATTAATCGAAGATGAAGGGTTTTAGAATTGAGAAGATGTATCTATGCACATATGTTTCCAATGATAAAGTGTGTTTCTTTCATTCATTTCATCAATTACATTTAACCGATGAAAAATAATTATCTGCATGTGCCTGTATTACTGTCTCGTCAAAAGTTTTTGAAAGTGAGCCATTGTTTATGCTCAGCGTCTATATTCGTCTCGCATTCTAACACCTTTTTATCTTCCAATACTTAATGTCATATACTGCGAGATGTTGCGAGGAAGAATATTACAGCAAATAATAAAATAGTATAGGTGGAAACAATTGTTATAACCTGCAAGCTTATTTTGAAGCTTAAAAAGTTAAGGCCTTCAATTATTAACGATATAGAATTACCGTAAATTATTAATATTGGACCCTAAATTACCAAGTTAGCAAATATAATTATTTCTATGTAGTACGTATCATATGGATATTTTATTTCATTATTTTCTTTTATTACAATAGTTAAATACAACAATAAAAAAGTAGTCGATAAAAGATTTCAGCCGACCGGGACGGAACACGGGCTAGTCTTTGTGTTATGTATGACATGCAATTTTATAACCTTCCTAATGGGCTCATATACCTCTAGAAAGTTCACCTTAACCTCTCTAAACCCCATGGGACCTCTGCTCTCTAGGCCTGTAAGCCACGCCCTCATGCGACAACCCGAAAAGTTTTTTGCTGGCAGAGCGCGGTTCAAAGGCTAAGCAGTGAAGTTTAACGTAACAAGAGACCTCATTGCCAAGGTTTTATTTACAACATTACAAGTGGTGATATAATGTCATTGAAAAAACCTCGCGTTGTTTCGCGTCGTCGGCTGTACACTAGGGAGGTTAAGATCGACTTCCGCTACGAGTAACGATAGCAATATAAACAAGTCATTTTATGAGAGATAATCCGTATGAAAATTTGTCAGGATTTCGGGATTCAAATCAGGGTTAGTAGATCAAACAACATCACACTAGTTATTTGTTTTCTTGGTCTTGGCCTTTTGTTTTCTTAGTCAGTTTCTTGATGGCGCTAATAACAATTTGCCCTCAAATATTTGCATATCTACCAACTCTGAGTCAAATAGGTTATTGTTGACTTCCCGCTGCACATTGAGACATTCTACAATATATCACATCAGCCACCTTCACAAGTTAATATATAATTCACGATCCTCACAACTAAATGAAAACCAGACATCGCGTATGATACTCACACTTGGCTCTGTGCTGTGTTTTTATGCACATATATAGGACTTTAATTAAAATCTATAGCGGAAGGTACAGTCTACAGTAGGGATAACAGCGGGAATTTAAAATTTGCAATAGGGCTCCACAAGTAGGCTCGTGATTGATAGAGCTCGTGATTTAAAACATTTTGGTGTTTATTTCATCGAAATTGGTCAAGGCAATCGAAAGTTATGGCAATTTGAACATTGGAATTTCAGGCCATTTTTTGGAAGAGGGACATAAGGAAATTGTATTAGAGAGGGGCTAAGAATGTGGCACCATAGAACCAAGTTTTTAGAGAAATATTTTAACATATTTAGTGATAACTTCTAGACGCCTCATTCAATCAGCATAAAATTTTCACACCGCATACCTAAGGTGTAGAACAACAAGTTGGTGCCACAGTTGATTTTCTGCTGTTGCCGTAGCAACCATATGACGTCACAGAATGTCACAAAATATAGTAAAAAAGACTTTTTGATTTATTTATCACTCATAATACCTTTTTAAAAATGTTTCATGACAGACAGATTAAAAATTTTAATTATGCTAGTTTATAAAATTATGCAAAACCGCGTAACCATGGAAACATGATGACATCATGATGATATCAGGTCTCAAAACAATTACTGTTTTCGAGTTCAATTTTTCATTTTAAAAAGGCTTCTTTGGAAACCAAACACATGGGGAAATACTTTGTCCGCAAAAATATTACATAAGCAATTTCCATAGCAATGTAGCAAATGCATGATGTCTTTGAATGATGTCACTAATTTTGTGACTGATGTCAGTATTCTACCATTGCTATTAAAATTATTCTAAGTTCTTTTAAAAATAAATATATAATAAAAATATATATATAATATACTACAAATCATTGGTACTGCCTCAAATAACAACATAAAAAACTGATCTATATATATACATATATATATGAAACTGAATTGATTTTTCATTAATAAGTATACTTTATTACAGACTGTCTCAAAATCTCAGTAATTTAATTGTTTAGAAAAGCCATACATGTTCATTGAACGGCACTCCAAATCCATGTTTATGTCATATAAGTGCCTATAAATTTAATAAGAAGAAGAGTCTTTTCTGGGCCATCCTGGCTCACCAAACTTTTGGCACTCTACCAAATATATAGTACATATAAATATATCATACTGTTTCCTACATTTAAAAAATATTCAAAAAATACCACTGCAATTACCTACAGTAGTGTAACACTAGAATTTATATATATATATATATATATATATATATATATATATATATATATATATACAGGGTGTATAAAAAAAAATGTCCCAAATGTAAAATTTCCGTTTTTCAGGATATTTTGCAGAATTTGGCAATTTTTTGTGTTCCTAGAGATAGTTAAGACTTATCTGGTATACCTAGGCCAAGTTTGGTTTTTGATTAACAAAATTATGTTACTGGGGGGGGGTGGCTCCTTTCCACTGATATTGAGAGGACTTGCGCGCGAAAATGTGAAGCTGAAATTGAGATATTATTTAGCTGTCTAAAAGTAGGAAAGCTTTTTAATAAACTGTCAAAGTTTCAGGAAAAATAATGCAAACTGGGAGCAACGCGCGACCCCTAAAAGTGACAAATATTTCATTGCGCGCAGTGGATTAAATGCATGGTTGATTTTAGCGTGACCGATCTAATGCAAGGCTGGGCAAATGAATAAATTAAAGCGAGAAACTGAACAAGAGGACGAAGCGATTTAATAACAAGATTTTTATTCTTGATGTTAATCCTCAACATTTCTACCATTTCTTTCTAAGCAAACTGCGGCTGGTCTGAGCATGGTAAACACTGAACGGCGAACCACATTTGTCTGTCCTGCCTCAAATTATCCATTTCGTTCGAGATTCTTTCTTGCAAATCGCCTACGCTACCACCGGCAAATCTAGGCGAATGGACAGACAAATGGTTTGCTGTTCAGTGTTTAGTATCATAGTATGCTCAGACAAGCCGCAGTTTGCTTAGAATGAAATGGTGGACATGCAGAGGATTAACATCACGAATAAATCGCTTTGTTTTTGTGTTCAGTTTCTCGCTTTAATTTATTCATTTGCCCACCTTGTATGAGATCGGTCACGCTAAAATCAACGATGCATTTAATCCACTGCGCGCAATGAAATATTTGTCACCTTTAGGGGTCGCGCGTTGCTCCCAGTATGCATTATTTTTCCTGAAACTTTGACAGTTTATTAAAAAGCTTTCCTACTTTTAGACAGCTAAATAATATCTGAATTTCAGCTTTACATTTTCGCGCGCAAGCCCTCTCAATATCAGTGGAAAGGAACCACCCGCCCCGGTAATATAATTTTGTTAATGAAAAACCAAACTTGGCCTAGGTATACCAGATAAGTCTTAACTATCTCTAGGAACACAAAAATTTGCCAAATTCTGCAAAATATCCTCAAAAACGGAATTTTTACATTTGGGACATTTTTTTTATACACCCTGTATATATATATATATATATATATATATATATATATATATATATATATATATATATATATATATATATATATATATACACCCATTTGCAAAAACGTTGGCCGCAGATAGATAGATAGATAGATACTCGAAGTCTAATTAGAATTGCATGTGATTACATTTGCATGGGATTTCTATAATATTACACAACATATGCAATTCTAATTAGATTTCGAGTATCTATCTATATATCTATCTGCGGCCAACGTTTTTGCAAATGGGTGTATATATATATATATATATATATATATATATATATATATATATATATATATATATATATATATATATATATATATATATATATATATATAACACTAGAGTTTTTAATATCAATCTCATTACTCTCAATTTGGATTTAGCAGAGCAATATTTGAGTGTTTATTATCAATAGTAGTTAAGTAGTTATTGCTGGATATTTTCACCAATTGACTACTTGCTTTAAATATTTTAATGCAAAGATTATAGCAAATTTCTTTTCTACCTGATTTTGTAAGATTTTTAACGAGGAGCATCGAATATTTGTTCTGAAATGGTTGTAACATTCACATCACGAGGCTCCATTGCCGCACGTCGCTAACAAAAAATTACAAAATACCAATGTTTAAATGCAAATCCGGGATGACCCCTGAACTCTTACAAGAAGAAATATATATCAAAAGAAAGCTTCTAAGACAAAGATTTTAACCATACCTGATTTTCTTGACATTTTGCACCAGAAAAATGCAAATGTTTTATTTTAAGGTCGCTTTCCCTATTTTCATGCACTCGGAGATGAGATTTCCAAAAAATCATAGCTCGTTGAAATCCTGAGATCCTTCGCTCTCCTCTAATACCAATATTATCCCAAAAGAACCCGGGGGTCATCCCGGATTAACGTTTGAACACGAGGTGTTTACGACGAACATCGGTGCCATGTGATTTCATGGCGTTCGAAAGCATCAAAATTTGTCAAATTTGACAGCTCATAAGTTCATAACTTTTGAATAACGCAACATAAAGAGTTCAAAAATGGTTTGTTTTGAAGATCTTTACCGCATACATTTACATAAAAGGTTTCAATGTCCGCCATCATTTAATTTTCAAGTTATTTTGCAGCGAACATGGGGTATTTTGCGTGCGAAATTCGCGAATTCCAATACCAGGCACCCGTGCGTGCGCGGTCCCTATCTGCAGGTAAGGTAAAGTATAGGTCTTTGTAATCTGTTCCTTGTGGAGTGAAGACACGAAATAAAGCCTCAATGACCCATAATAAAAATCTAGATCGTCAATGGTTAACACTGTAACACGCGATTGCGGAATTACACCAGGCTGTACACACATATTTCGCAGTATGTAAACAGTTTCGGAAAATCCTTACACCGAATAATGTCTCGCTTATTTTATATCCATTCACCAACACTTATAATAATAATTATGATCAAGTGTGAATATCTTACCTTGGAAAATATTCACACAATATTCCGTTATATTCGAACGTAAATTATGAAAATGTCTGGGGTTTTTTATCACTGTCTCATTTTCCAAAATTATTCGTCTATGTGCCGTCTTCACACGGGAGACGCATTATCCGTCTAGACGAACTATCGTTGGTTATGCGTCTCTGAGACGAAAAACTGAACATATTATACGTTTGTTGTCCGTCTTTATACTGAAGACGGACAACCTGGGAAGACGCATTATG